TCTGTTTTTTTTTTTTAAATGACCAATCAAAATGAACATATAAGATTTGATATCTAAGAGCTTGATTGGTTCTCCCGCTAGCACCCTCCTAGCGGTTGCTAGCGGTCGTTTGCGGTTGTTAGCGGTTGGTACCAATCATAAAAACCGCTCTGTACCGCTACAAACCGCTGAATTTCAAAAGCTCCTTCCCGCAAGCGTTTGCGGTTGCGGACGGTAGCGGTTGGGTTTAGAAAAAAAAAAATCAAACATTTACTTATAATTATTATAAAATATATTAATCCTATATATATCTTTCATCTTTGTATCACGTTCTCATCGGAAACCCTAATCGATATTCTAAAACTTTATTTTCTCAATGTCTTCCACCCAAACCGATGAAAATCAAGAACCAAACGTAAGTATCATAAATCCTTTTATTCATTCATCACCTCATGTGTAACTATTTGAATATTTTTCATTGTATCGTTTTTCTTCTTTTCATTATGTATTGCTTTGCTTTTTGATTTAATATATGTTTCGATTTATTTTCTCGAATAGAAAATCACTTGCTTTTTGATTGAATTCAACGTTATTTACAGTTTGTCTCATTACTTGATGCAATGTTTGGTGTTAAACCAGCATAAAGTACTATCTTATTACAAAATTTCTTTATTTTTGAATAATTATTTAGTATTTTATTTATGTTTTTAATTATTAAGTATGTTCAATTTTTCTAATATTATCATAATAATATATTGGTGTTTTTATGTCTTTTTTTGTAATATATATTTTTTTTGGTCATTTTTTATTTAAATGCTACCGCACCCCCTGGTTTACCAGTCATAAAATTCCCGCAAACGCATCCATTTTCAAACGCTAAACCAGTCGTTCAAAACGCTTGGTAACGCTTGAAACCGCAACCGCCCGCTTCCGCAAACTCCCGCAACCGCAACCGCAACCACTACGTTTAAACCAGTCAGGCCCTAACTTACCATATTAATTTGTTATTAATCATTAAACTTCACCTCTTATCTTAATATGATTATATTAATATGAAACAAATAAATCATCATATCATCTACATAATAAAAAAAAGTAATTTTTTTCTGCATATGCCAAAATTTGAATTTTTAAAAACGCATATAAATTGTTCAATCTATAAAAGAAACAATTAAACGGGTCAAAAATTCAGACTTGAGTATGTAATATATTTCTCTTACACAAAAATAGTGTCAACAAAAATTTCGACTGAGCAACGGGTCAGAATTTGAATATTTATATTCGATTTCATACATTTATTTTTTTGAAATGTATAGTTTTATATACTACAATAAAAAATTTAATATTTTAATTTGCAACATTTAAAATAAGTTTTACTTGATATTTTTAGAGAATATCATCAATACTTAATAGTTCAAAAAGTTAAAAATTATAAGTACTCTAATTTGATTATTTTAAAAAAATATTTATAATAGGTAGCGGGTTAAATATAATATATTATACGATGAAATGAGTTTTGATCATTATAACTATTTGAATATTTATATTTAATTTCATATAATTTGTATTTGAAATTCATAATTTTATAAACTACAAAAAAAAATTAAAGATTTTAATTTGGAATATTTAAAAACAGTGTAGAACATTTAAATATGGTTTGACACCTCTAAATATTTGAAAATTTGATTCCGCAAGCAATTTTAGAATTAACGAATAATAGATTGTGCACGCAATATTTTAAAATGAAATATTGAGATTCTAAAATAAAAATATAGACTCCACGCACGGGTTGATTTTAGTATTATTATATACTAAATATATATTTATAACATATTCGATTATGCGAATAATTGGTAAATTCCGTAATTATAAATCTCAAACAAATTTTGTAATTAGATTAGATCAAACAAATCTCTATTTCAACAACCAAATAATTATAAATTCAAAAAGAATTTTCTAAATTAATTCAAAATAATAGCTAATTTTCTTAATTAATTCAAAATAATCTATGTTTTATATGCGATTTATTTATGATATTTTAATTTTTGATCTAACTCAAATATATGCAATCCTATTTTGTGGTTGTTAACATAAATTAACTCATTGTTCAAAAAATATTACTTTTTAAAAAATAGAATTATTTTCCGTTTTCGTATCTTAAAAAAACATTTTTCCATAATTGATTATTATAGAAAAATTCTATATTTATTCTAATATTGTATATAGGGACTGACAAAAAAAGTAATATATTTCACTATTATAATATATTAAAACTTAGTTCTAATATATATAATATAAATTTTGTAATAAATAAAATTCAACCCGTATTTTAGTACGGATGATGATCTAGTACCTTTAATTTTTTGCAGTCTAATTCTTTATTTTAAAAATTCGGTTGAAGCAAGGGAGATCACATCAGACTTTTGAGGACTTTTTGGTATTTTCTGGCCGACTCGATCATTAGTCACCATCTCTTGTGTATAATACCTTTAATTACACATTACTAATTATGTGACATGTTGTAATAACTACGATCGATATGAAGTTAAGGCTATGCAAAAAATATTGGTAGTGGACCGTTTCAATCTGCATTAAAGACATATATAAATATAATCTAGACGATTACGTAATTAAATAAAAATTTATCAGTAGTCAACATACCATAATTCTAGTTTAAATGTTTGTATTACGATAAGTACCAGACGGTATGGAACAAACAAATCTAACGAAACAAGTTGAACAAATGTGGTTAATTAGTATTGATGTAGCAAAACGGACTAAATAAACAGTTCAAGAGCAGAACAAAAACTACAAAAATAACAAATTTTGTAAAAATAAATTACGGCAAGAAAGATTATCGCAAAATTATGTGCAACAAAAGAAAGACATTTTTTTCTGTAGAAATGAAATAACTTAAATTTTTTTAAATAATTTCTGTCGCACTTTGGTTACAAAATCTAATGTCACAATCTAGTTTATTTTACGAAAGAATTACAAGGCACTAGTGTTACGTTGTCTAAGAATTCTCGCAAATTTCATTAAATATCCACCGCATAAAATACAATATCTGCGACGATTCTTGGCAGAGTGACAAATTCTGTCAAAAAATGTTACTGAACGTTTGTTAAAGATTAGAAAAGCACCGAAAGGTTTGTCGACCATATATATATAATTAAAATTTGTTTCGTTGCAAATAGTGTGTGAATATTCATCGCAATAATGTGAGTTTTGTATCTTATACCGTCACAAATTGTATCAGGAAAGCTGCCTATAGATTTTTGTCGACTAATTTTCTTGTAGGATTAAATGGAATTATCACATAAAGTATCCAATTTAATAGCTGCATATTATCAGCTATCTACACAAATTTAAAGCAAATATGAAAGAGATACCTGGATATATAAAATCACCCTGAGTAAAAGCCAATCATTTAGAGACTCTTCCTTTTGTTTTCTTTCTGTTGTCAACATTTCGACAGGCTCTTGGCATTTCATAACAATAAAGTACAATCTGATATCACTCACATGCATGTAAAGCACCTAGTCGATCACAAGATAAATTAGGTACACTATTATTGAAAAGAACGACTATTCACATAGATAGACGAAAAATTAGAAAACAAATCATCAACTTCAAGTGCTGAATGCCCCGGAAATGATATGAAAATCCCTTTGAAACTGTCTTCAAAGGGATTATGATTATCTATTTTTATTTTTAGATGATTTATAAAATACTATACTAACTGACATTAAAAAATATTTACAATACTGTTATAAAGACTATAACAATTCATATCATTGCCTTGCAAGCCGCCATGCGATTTACGTACCACTGTGAATTCCATCATGATAGTCATCCCGGTCGAGGACATTAGTTAGTTAATTGATTACCTCTAAAGACATGGTCAACTCTCTTTTACGATATTTACCGTTTCTAAGACCATAAGATCTTATAGCAAACAAAACAAAACGATCACAAGATCAACCAAACTACTTGTGTCTGTTATAATTTGTAACACTCCGTTATGACTTATGAGACTTGTTAAGATGTCGGGTTTTTCTTTATGGAACTTTATGATTGGTCGTTGTTCTGAAAAAAAAAATCAGTTGGAGTTTGAATAACATCGCCTTCTTGTTGACATTAGCCTATTAAAATTATTGAGGTTATGCGATACTCGTATCCCCCCCCCAAATTACCCTCTCCATTTCACTTCAGGTGTCGTCTAAGAATTTGTCACACATATTTAAAAATATCTATTAAAATTTATACTATGCCAATTATTAATACATTATACATAGTTTCATCTCTCTTATTTATACAATAAAATAATATAGTTAAAACTGGAATTTTGCAAAGTTCTGCATTAAAAATCTAAAACGATACATAAGTTGAAACAAACAATATTCGTAACAAAGTTGCTTAGGATTTTTTTTCATAAATTTTTTTCCATTTCAAGTCTTTTTTCATTATAATTTTTTGATTTACGTACGTGATCGTTAAGACTTAAGATTGGTGTTTTTTACCTAATAAACGATAAATATTTGGAAAAGCGTACCTGGATTGGAATTGAAAATACCCTTATCCACGTCTTGAAGAGATCATCTTCAGCTCAGAGACATTTACTTTTGAAAATCTGGTTGTTCCTTTCACCCAAAAGGGAATAGATGATGGCATGAGCCACAACTAGGCGAAGGTTTGCCACTGTTTTGCTTTGATTATGAGCATAAAGCCATGATAGTCATTTCTCTATAGTAGAGAAACCCATGGTGACATATAGGGCGATCGACCCGACTTAATTTGTTGCCTAAAGCAAAAAAGGTTTTTTTCTAAATCATTATAAAATAGTGGAAACAGAAAATTACAAAAATTAAGAGATTTGGGTTCGAACTGCCACTTGAATGTGGAAACTCAAGGACTTTACCACTACCACAACAATCATTTTCTGAAAAGATACCCCTAAATTCATTTATAGATTTCTGCTGTCTAAAACCCTTGTTCATGAGCTTTAACCCATGGTCGGACTTGGCGCCATAGATCGAATTTATTTATAAGGATATGATCTCTTGAGCCACCATATATTTCACACAAATGTAAGTTGTATCATGAGCAACAGCTCAAGCAGTGAGCCTTGTTAGTGTTGGGAGCCTGTATGAGACAAGCTAGCCACATAAGGAAGGTTTGTTTCAGGACAAAGCCTATTAACTTAACTGTGTTATTCCACGTGACATGTTAATGCTCGGTCTAATCTTTTTTAATTTCCACGTCTTTGTGACACTGAAACTACTTTTCGGTGTATCTGAATGAGAAACCCAAAGGAATGGATCCTTGGTTTCCATAGAGATGATAGCAAGTGAGGTCAAATACATATGGAGCGCCTTAGTTGTGTTACTCCTAGCCCCATGTAAGTTCCAACCGACGAGTTTAGTTGGCCACATTTGCAATGAGAGAAATATCATACCAAAGGTCACAAGTCTAGGAGCAAATCTCAAATCAAGCATCCTTGAGAACACATATATCCATGTCAATAATAAAGAGGTATTAGAATAAAATATCTCTTTGTCTCAAACTTTCATTTCCCTTGCAAATATCCAAATAATTCATTGTTTTATAGTCACTGAAAACCTTATTGTTGATATAACTGTTGGATCCATTTGATATAGGTAGTAGGAAAAATTGTAGCTATCAACACATCCAGAATAAATCTCAGTCAAAAGCTTTGTGAAGATCAATCTTGGTTTTATTTCGATATCATATGAAATCATTATATCCTTTCCACCGTAATTATAATTTTGCATGCCAAATTTCGATGTAACTCATGATCGAGCACTAGATCTAACATCTGTGTACATGATGAGGCCTATGGCTTGACGATAATAACTAGTCAATGATCAAGGTCTATTAATATTCTTTTAGCCGTCGAATGCAATTGGAACTATCTACTGTGACCAAATGTTGTTTGGTTGACTCCGGTGATTAGAGATCAAAATTTTGAACCGCTAGTTTATTCAGCTACAACAATGTGATCAGTTACACGTAGTCGCCAACAACTACCAAATGAATAAGTTTTCATTCAGTGAAAATAAATGGTCAGTATTACATAATCAAGCGAAAAAGAAAAAGAAAATCTGCGAAACGAAATGTATATGAAAACTAAGTGGTTTTTAATAACCTTTAGCTCCGAGTTCGTTACAAATAAACTTTTGGAGCAAATTTATACAAGATTCAAGTTGCATTTGCTTCATGATGAGGTATCTCTTGTGAAGCTTCTTATTATGATGTTTTGTTGATTGCTTTATTCACTAATGGAGAATGAAGATCTTTTAACAGAAGACTCAGAAGGAATCCAATCATCTGTGTAAGTAAAGCAATGCTAGTCATTAATATGAGTATAATAACAATCAACATATATATAATTGATATAGTTGTAGATGTAAAAAAAAATACCAAAGAGAAGGCGATACATAGAAGGCTGAATCCAGGGAAATAGAACGGTGCATTTTCGGAGAGAAACAACGCTATATCAAACAAAATTATTTATATGTTGAACGCTTTAGAACTTTTTTCAATCTCGATAATAATTAAGGTTATAAAAGATAGTAATGAATGAAGTTCAAAGTTCATTTTGATGTATTTGCGTACCTGTTAATGGACTAAATATACAAGGAGCTAAAACTCCAGCTAAGGACTTTACCCCGGCTAAGCATCCTTGGACCTTCCCCTGGAGTGAGATGGAAGTGGATATCAAAACATCATCATCGTTCTTTGATTGGTACTAAATTAGAAAGATGAATCTATAAATTGTTTGTCTTTAATATGTTAATTGTTAAACAAATTATACATAATAAACTGAAAACGGTGACATTCAATCATATGAAATGTGGTTGTCCATTATATATTATTTTAGATATCTTCTTATTTTAAATGTGAGATTTCTAACATTCCTTCAAAAATAATACTAGTTTTTTTTAACAATTTATCTTGCCAAAATAGCATTATAGACCTAATTTTGGGATTTGACTGGCCACACTAGTTCAGGGTTGGATTAACCATACTAATTTCGGGTCAGATCAATTTCAGTTCAGATTAGTTTAGCTTGTGTTTAGAATATAATACAATGTTTAGCTTTGTAAGCTTCTCCTAACTCAAAAAAAATTGAAAATAAAGAAATTGGCTCATACTCTAAATCCCCCTCTTCTTTTCTAACAGTTCTTTAAAAACGTTAATATTAGCAATCGAAAGTTGGCAGGAAAGAAAACGATTTTTACGGTTTTACCTGTTCACCGGATCCAACTTGTCTTGAGGCAATACCACAAATCTACAACCAAATTCAAGCTATGGTTAAGCAATACTACGTAAAAAATCTCCATTATTAATGACCATGAAGCGATAAAGTCTTACTGATGGCATCACGAACATGGCTCCCGGTACAAGCACGGTCGTGGCATAAGGAACCTATATTGTTCGAACAAAACAACCAATATATCCTATTGAATTTGTAACCCTATACATGTTTAATCATCTTGAACTCTCTTCGACCAACGATCTTGATATAAGGGCTATATTTAACTTTCAAAATATGGATGTTATTTGTATATAAATTTTTTATAAACACATAGAGGGCGAGGGTTTTAAGATTTAGATCTTTTTTTCTTTGTTAAGAATTTTCAGCGAACTCACCCATGCTGACCAAGCAACACTAAGACAAGCTGCCTGCATGACAAGCACATAACCAAATTTCATGAGGACATGAATTTATTTAGGATGTCAGAGATTAATTGGGGTAAAATGAAGAATTTTTTTCTTTTGCCAAAGTATTTACGTTTAAAAATTCCATAAGAAGCCCTGTTGATAACACCCAACGTTCTCCAATGGCAGAAACCAATATCGGCAGTATAAACAGCTGAAAATTAAATTTAGCAGCACATACCATTAAACTATATTAATTCAGTTATTAATGATAGTGACATATATATTACTACAAAATATACCTGGGAGGTGGAGCCAATGATGTGGTCCAATAGAAAGAGCTCAGCAAAGTCATTTTTCTTGAACCCAAAACGAGCTTTCATAGAATACTGTGTTATTGAAAAACAATCAATACATTTTTGTGTTAATTAAAAGTTTTTTTTCTTTCTTAAAAGTAAAATAAAGAATGTAAAGTTGTGGAGATGAGAGAAACCATGAAAGCAGACCCCATTCCATTTTGTGATAAGGTAAAAAAGAATGTAACAACCAATGCTTGAACGAGTATGGTACTGTTTAATAAAAAAAACCATATTGACAATTTAGGGTTATATATGATGATATATATATATATATATATATGTAATGTACGTAGACGAAACCATACATACATTTTATATATATGAAACGTACCTACTCTTTATCAAGCTGACCATATTTTTCAAAGACGAGTACTTAGTGTTGAAGACATGTGTCTTTGTTGGTGCGTCTCTTAGAATTGGCTTTGCTAACATCCTTAGATCACTACCTTTATGAACTTTTTGATGATTGCTACTACTACCACCATCACCACAATTGTCGTTATCTTCATCGTGTAATCTATCTTTGAGGAAAACTCTCATGTACACCAGACCAATTAATAATGATATAGCTGCAACCTAATCAAACTTTTTTTAGATATGTACGATGAATAAAACCTTTACAATATGACAAAAATATGAATTTTCAGATCTATTAAAATCTTCTCAAACTTTTTTTTTTTTTTTTTTTTGATAACTCAGGTCTAAAGGTTTTCTAGGCCCAAAGACTAATCATGGGGCCCGGGAAAACCATGTTAAATATTCTCAAACTTTAAGTAAGTTTTAATTGAAATTTTATTTTAATCATTTATTATATCTCTCATCTATTTATTCCTCATGTGTATTGTTGTTAGATAACCATGCCAATATATTAAGTTATGGAAAACAAATACACTTAAGAAATTGATTGTATATGATTTGATAATCTTTTGACTTTGTCTTGTAATCTCTTCATTATGTTTTTTTGTATGTATCATGATTCTTGTATGATGATACGATACCTGAAAAGTGGAAGCTACAGGTAGAAAACGAGCTGAGAATGTTGCAAAAACTCCGGAAATTGTTTTGACACCGGCCAAAACTCCAAACATTGCTATTCTTTTTTTGCCCTGAACATTTTTCGCCTGAAAATATAAAAAAAATGAACTCGTATTAATGTTGTAAATAAATTATTATGACTCAGAATATCATATAGTTAGATCATGGTGAGAAGAGTACCACATAAGCTTGAGAGAGACAGTCAACAGCGCCTCGGCAGACCATATCGAATAGAGTCTTGGTTATATAAAATGCAAAGAAAAAATTCGTATCCCTTCTATACCCTAATATCGCTGCAAACGGTTACTACATTCAGTAACTAATTGTGACAAATTTCACAGTTTTGTTTCGTTCATTGTGTCAATAACTTTCAAATTACCTTTTCTTTTTTTTTTTTTTTTTTTTTTTTTAATTTATAAATTACCCTTTTTTGATTTAGGTAATAACAATAACTAAAAAAAAAATGGTGATTTAGTGGTAGCAGAAGAAAATTGTGTCTTTATATCTCATTTTTTTGGTATTAAGAGTTCTTTTCTGTTTCACGAAAAAAAATAAAAGAGTTCTTTTCTAAAATAAATTATCTAAAATTTAACGCTATATATCGGCAGAAATTATGGACCGACAATCGTGTTAATTGCTATTGCATGTGTCATAAGAACATATGCAGTGGATAGAGACTCTCTAAATTTCTCAAATATATTATATTATATTTTTAAGGCATCTTTAGTTATATTGGTGGTACACGTGATTAATTTCTGCTAGTTTTCTTGGAAACGTTAACTCTATAATAATAATTGGTACATATTAGACGAAGTTTATCTAACAATAACTCTAGTATATGGCTATCGTCGTTCATAATTATTCCTCAGTTGCTATGTATTCATTAAATTTGAATATCATATGGTATTTTTAGAAAAATATCGTGATTCGAAATATTTTTTTATAATTGAATGATATAACATCGTTAAGAAATTAGTTTGCTTGATGAAAAAATATGAGATAATCTATTTGTTTATATAAAGGTGACTATTCACTATTTTTTCTTATAGAATTAATAACATATTGTCTAATTTTCTTAATTTTTTTCTAATTTTAAATATTGTTTTTACAGTTAGTAACTTATAAATAAAACGTTTAGCATAATTTTATAATTTCGATTTTTACGGAAATATACATATAAATTCCTTATATATATGTATAGTTTTCTTATTATAATCTTTTTAAAACTGTTTAAATTTATAATTTTGTTATAATTATCTTTTTAAAGCTTGATGGCAAAAAATCTTATGGAATTATTTGTAAAATTTTCTTATAGTTAAATTTTTACATTTCAAAACTGTTTAAATTTATAATTTATTATAACTATCTTTTTACTTTTTTTTTTAAAAAAAAAAAATTTTATTTGACACATGTCAAAATCTCATAATGAAAAGTTTGGCACGTGTCACGAATTCGTGAGTTACTAACTTTGAAAATTATACTTTATATAATAAGATATATATATATATATATATATATATATATATATATATATATATATATATATATATATATAATTCATATGGGCTTTGCATGAAATTTTTTATATTATTAGTTCTTGAGTATTTGAAAAAATTAGATTTACAGAACTTATAATTTTCCTATTGAGATGGTAAAAAAAATGAAATTAAAAAGCATTGTGTAATAGAAAAAAAAAATAGAAAAAAAGAGGAACCTGGAGGAAGAATAGAGAGGCACATGGGAAGAGTGAGCAATGCTTTGATTCCATATCGGTCGGATAGACTCCCGATCACTGGCATCATTACCATTGTCCCTAGCCCCACCGTCTTTTTTAAAAAAAATCATTTTCACCATCCACAACAAAAGGTTGCATTACATTAATTTAAATTTCTTGAGATTCTTATAATAAAGAAACAACAACAACTTGAAAATTTAATTACAGGTTATCAATTTTGAAGACATAGAAAGATTCTGAAATTAATAGTAATTACCAAAAGAGAGATCAAAAAGTAAAAAAAAAAGTAGAGTTTGGTACCACTTGTTGAACTCCGGTGAGGTAAACGGCTAGAGAACATGAATCATTTATGCCGGAGCAAACGGCAGCAACGGTGACGTCAGTCATCACCGGCCTCACCAAGAAAATAGCAAACCCCGACAGAAAAACCATAGTCAAAATGTGTCTAAGCTCTCCAATTCTATATTCTTCCATCTCTTTCCTCTCTACTCTTCGAAGCTCACTTTTGGTTGTTACGTACACATCCTCTTACAGAAATAACATATACGAGTTTACCTTATGTAGATCTTGATAGAGCTAAAAAAAAAAAAAAAAATCTTGATAGAGCTTTTAGAATCGGGCCATCAGAAACTCGTTGGTGGAGGCGTGGTCATGGTCTCTGAATATGACATTTTTTATCATGAAATAAAATAGGATCACGGATGTTTCTATTTTCTTTTTAAAATGATGGCTCTTTTAAAACTAATTAATTTTCAATCATGAGACAGCATTGAGATTTTACATATGAATTTATATGATATGTATTTTCTTAGTCCATATATTTTGTCGCGTAACCTATTTATTTATTATTTTACAATTTTTTGATAAAAGTTTCATTTGATTAACTTTGGAAGAAAGAGTAGCCCCATCAAGTAAAAAACAAAGGTCGTCCAGTTTTCTTTTTTGCTTTTGTTTTTTCTGCCGACAAAGAAAAACACAATAATAACCACTTGAGCCGTCCTACCGAATAAAAAAAAATTAGATGGGAGACAATAAATTTAAGGCTAATTAGTTTTTGGATAGGGTGAGTTAGCGCAGAGGTAAAAACATAGAGCCAAATTTGCGAATCGATAATTGACTGTTCTTTCTTCAAGGAACACAAAAAGAATTTCACTTCTGGCCCTCGATTTCTCAATAATAACGAAAAAACCAAACACTTACGTATCCATGCGATTGGAATAACATGTTTGATTTTTTTTGGCAAAAAAAGTAATGAAACGACGTTTCTGTTTCGGACGTGACGGTTATGCGGTGACAGAAGGAAGGAGGCGACTTCTAATTAATGCAAACCTGCAAACTGTCTAAGTAGATATGTAGATATCTACAATAGAATAACAGATGCTTGGCAAATATACATGAATAGATACAGATCTAATTAGATCTGTGGATATCTTTTTTTTTTTTTTTGAAAAACAGAACTTAGATTAAAATCAAACTCCCAAAACGGGGGGAAAGTTACAACTTGAAAGAGCAGTCTTGGCCAAAGCATCGGCCTCCACATTGTCTGAACGAGAAATATGATGAAAGGTACAGGAAACAAAAGCAGAACAGAGATCTCTTATATCATCCAAAATACCATCGATAGAGATTGATTGACCATCCGAATTGAGCAGGGTAGTAAGCTCTAAACAATCCGAAAAACAGGCCAATCTAGAAACACCCAACGCCAAAGCCGCCGAAATCGCCGCTTTCAAGGCAAGTGCCTCTGCTACAAGAACAGAGGAAACAGAGGGTCGAGATAAAGATCCCCTTTGGATCTCAGTCAAATGCGCACTTTTAACTATCCATCCCAGGCCACAGGCCATCGAAGGCGACAGCCAAGAAGCATCAGAGAAACACACCGCAGCCTCCTTATGAACCACACCCTTTTCTCTGCCTTTATGATGCGATTTCTTTTGAGTCTGTAGTTTTGCAGTTTGCCAGCTTTTTGCCTCCAAGATCGCCTTCTGAATCGTATCACTTTCAGAGCAGCTCCTGTCTTCAAAAATTAGAAGGTTTCTGGCTTTCCAAATAAACCAGAGGAGCCAAGGGAACAGAGGAGCAAAACAAAGGCCAATCGGGGGAAGAGTGATCAACTTCTTGGCCTGAACTAACCATTCTTGCAGTGAGTTCACTGTCAACGGGTCAGGAAGGCCTATGACAGGAGCTAAGTCCCATACCTTTCTCGCAAAGGAGCAAAGGAAAAATACATGCAAAGGGTCTTCCTCTTCTCCACACCTCTTACACACTGCAGCTGCATTCATACCACGACAAGCCAAAGCCTTCCCCACTGGAAGAGCATTCCGGGTAGCTTTCCAAAGGAACATCCTCAACTTAGGTGAAGTACAAACTTTCCATACATGAGTGGTCCATTTGAAACTTTCTACTTGAGTCAGAGAGATGACAGACTTGCCCAATAAATAACCCGATTTTGATGTGTAGCTCCCAGATTTTAGAGGCAACCATCTCAATCTATCCGGTTTAGGCTTGGCACTCAAGATGATTTTGAGTATTTCTTCCTCATGCTGAGGTACAAAAGATCTTATGGCTTCTAGGTTCCAGCTCGTAGAGTTTGGATGGAGAAGATCTTTGACTCTAAGGTTGAGACCCGAAAGGGGAGGAGGACCAACTGGGCATACCGGCTCCAAGAATGATAGCCAAGGCTCCTTCCATAGGTTAATTGATTCTCCATTACCAATACGCCAACCAACACCTTTTCTTAGAATTTTTCTCCCCTCCATGATACTTCTCCAACCATGTGAAGCATTAGAAGGTATACTAGCCTCCATAAAGGAGGACGAATGACAATACTTGCCCAATAAGACTTGAGAGATGAGAGCCTCCGGTTCTTGAATTAGCTTCCAACCAAGCTTAGCTAATAAGGAATCATTAAAAGTGGCTATTTCCCGAAAGCCCAAGCCGCCATCTTCTTTTGATAAAGTGAGTTTCTCCCAAGCCACCCAACACATCTTCTTTTTATCCGGATTATCATCCCACCAAAAGCGGGTTAGAGCCGTTTGAATTCTTTTACAAAGAGACATAGGGAGCTTAAAGCAAGACATAGCATAAGAGGGCATTGCCGCTAGCACCGCTTTGAGCAAGACTTGTTTTCCGGCTCCGGACAAGAATCTAGAAGTCCAAGAAAGAGCCCTTTGTCTTATCTTATCCACTATGGATGTAAAAATATCCTTCTTTTTCCTCCCAAAGAACTCGGGGAGACCAAGATATTTTCCTATCCCTCCTTCCTTTGAGATGCCTAAGCTCTTCTTTACTCTATCCTTGATTTCCTGGGAAGCTTTAGAGGAGAAGGTGATGCCGGATTTATCCACATTTATACATTGACCCGAGGCTTCCTCATATCTCTTTAAGATTTTCATAAGCGCATCACAACTCTTGACACTTGTTTTACTAAAAAACATAGTGTCGTCCGCAAAGAGAAGGTGATTGATCAAGGGGCTCTTCTTTGCCACCCTTACCCCCGGAAGTGTACCAATTCTTTGAGCTTTGGTACAAAGTCCCGAAAGCACTTCCGTACAAAGGATGAAAAGATACGGAGAGAGTGGATCTCCTTGTCTTAAGCCACGCGATGGGAGAACCTTCCCATGGGGAGCACCGTTGATAAGAAATGCATAGCTCACCGAAGATACACATTCTAATACCCACCGAATCCACACATCGTGGAACCCAAACCTTTTAAGGACCGAAATGAGAAAAGACCATTCAATGCGGTCATAAGCCTTGCTCATATCGGTCTTAACCGCCATCGCGCAATGAACTTTAGCTTCCGAAACTTTAAGGAAATGAAGGACTTCATGAGTGATTAGAACGTTATCCGAGATAGCTCTTCCCGGAACAAAAGCCGATTGATGCTTCGAGATAAGCTTGTTTAGAAGAGGCTGCAATCTCTTAGAGAGGATCTTTGCTATTATCTTGTAGTGAACACTACAAAGCGCAATAGGCCTAAAATCTGACACCCTCTTTGGCCCTAAGACTTTAGGGATAAGCCTTACATGCGTTTCATTATGTCTAAGATGAAGAACGCCACTCTCAAAGAAACTTCTGATCTCCATAACCACATCCTTACCCACAATTTCCCAGAAGGAGTGATAGAAACCCGCAGAAAAACCATCCGGGCCTGGTGCCTTATCGGCATGGATGTCTAAGACTGCCTCATGAATCTCCTTCTCAAGAGGAATAATAATAAGCTTTGCATTCATGGCATCAGAGATTTGAGGTTGAATAGCTTCTTCCACAATACTGAGCTGACTACTAGAAGAGGATTTGAAGAGATTCTCATAGAACCTAGCCACTGTTTCCGCAATGTTTTTGTCTTCAAATTGTTCTGATCCTTCTTCATCTTCTATGACTGAGAGGTGGTTCAAGGCTCTACGACCCCTGGTAACCGCATGAAAGAAACTAGTGTTCTGGTCACCTTCTTTGAGCCATTGAATCCTGCTCTTTGTCGCCACACTGCTTCCTCGTCTTGGTACGCTACCTTCAGTTTTCCAGAGAGCTGAGAGATCTCCTCGTTATTAGGGTTTGGGGAAGAGAGCTCAGCTTCAAGAGCATCCTGCAAGAGTTTAATATCCCCAAGCTTCTCCTCTAACAGTTCTTTAGCCCACTGAATTAAGCGACGCCTGCATCTCCCAAACTTAGAAAACAGAGTCTCCTCTTCCCCTGATTTCCAAGACTCTGATACCAGTGTGTGGATCTCTTCCTTATCTCTTAAACTTCTGTCAAATCTGAATACACCCTTAGCCTTAACCTTTGTGGGATCAAAGAAGGTAATAAGCGGTCTATGATCTGAACCCTCAAACCTGAGGTACTTACATCTACCTGAGGGATACACTTCTGACCAAGACGTATTGGCCAGCACTCTGTCAATCCGAGACAGCACAAAGTGAGAGTGGCGATGACCCCTCCAAGAGAGGCTATTCCCAGAATGATTAACCTCCCAAAGACCATTTTGCGACACGAAGCTTCTAAAGGGAATGAAAGTGCCTTCAGCTCTAGCCGGTCCACCAACTTTCTCAGAGTTGTCTAAAATTTCATTAAAGTCCCCCATTAGTAACCATGCATCCTCTCTTTCAGAACCCAGCCCCGAGATATCATTCCAGACTTGTTGTCTATCTTCCACCTTCGGGGCACCATAAACAAAAGTAATAAAAGAGGAATTATTTTGAAACTTAATTTTTGTATCCATGAAATTTTGAGAGGAGGAAAGTACATCAACAACAACATCCTCTTTCCAAAATAGGGCTAGCCCCCCACTAAGCCCAACAGGTGGAACAGTAGAATGACTCACGAACCCCAGCGAGAGGAGATGCTTGAGGACCACTTCATCTTGGTTCTTTGTTTCCATTAGGAAGATGATACTCGGGGAGAAAACCTTGCGGATCTCCCGTAATCTTGGAACTGTAAGGTCTCCTCCAATACCCTGACAGTTCCAACTACAAACCACTAAGGAAGAGGATTTGGTGGTTTTGGAAAATCCACCTTAGACTTTGCTTTTTTTGCTGCAGGAATCAGAATGACTGGAGGCTGAGCTCCTTGATTTTCAGTAGCAGGATCCAAGTCAGACTGAAGTTGATCCTGACAGAGCCTTTTCTTAGCTGAAACTCCTTTTTGGTTGGTTGCATTCCTTTTTCTGGAGCAAGCTCCCTGAAGAGGGCTTCTAGTACCTTTAACAGAGGCTGCAGCAGTGCCTTTTCTTTTTGGGTTAGCTCGCGACTTAGGGATCTTAGCGGGAATGGTTATAGTAACCTCTGGTTGCTCTTGCTCTAACCTTAGTGAAGCAGGCCTTCTTAACTCAGCTTGGGAGCTCTCTTGACCCAAAGATAGTCGATGACCCAAAGTAGGGTGGATTGGATCAGAGCAGTCTCCTACCAGCAGGTTGTTGTTGTTATTGGTCAGACAAGCTTGTCCTTCTTCCCCAAGATATTGGATATTAACATCCTGAAGCCTACCAGACATGGAGGAGGAAATCCCCTGTCCTTGGTTCTGTTCCAAAGCAGTCTCTCTCCCTGATAATCTTTCTAATGCAGGTCTGCGAGCTCTAGGAGAGCTTTGACTACCCAGCCTACCCGAAAGAGCAGCAGGCTGCCCCGTTGTCTTATTGCTTGGAGGTGGAGTGTTCAGAATCTCCGGTCTGTGGGGAGAGGCCTCTCTGTGAGATAACCGGCTCTCTCTTCCTGCTCCACTAGTAGTGTCTTGGAAACTTCTGGTTTTCTGAGGGGAACTTCTTCTTCTCCTCCATTCAGAATGATGATGTCTACTCTCTGAGTTTCTGTCATCATGAAAGGAATATTGACGTCTCAGGGACTGCTCCTCCCTTGAAAACCTCTGAGGACGTCTAGCTGCTGACCTCCTGAGCTGATCCTCTCTCCATCTTGGAGAGTATCTAGGGGAGGTTTCCTTGGGCCTGCGGTCTCTGGGAGGGGATCTTCTTTTAGTAGGAGAGCGTGAGAATCGCCTTCTGGGAGACTCAAAACGCCTTCTACTCACTGAAGGCTCCCTTCTTTCTCTTTGAATCCTGCTACCTTGAAGATCCTTTCTCGTATCTCTTTGTGAGCCAGAGTTTAGAGGAGGGTCACACCCCTGATCTCCCCTTTTGAAATTCTCTTCTCTGTTTGGGCAATCTTTTTTTTCATGAGCTAATGAAAAGCAAACAAAGCAATGCTTCTCCAGCCTTTCATACTCCAGGGTAACTAAGGTGACTTCTCCGGAGGGTAACATGATAGGGACTTGTTTCTCTAGGGGCAATAGAGCGTTGATATGAACCCGGATGCGGACTCCATCCGTATCAGTTACTTCAACCTTGCCCAGATCCTCTCCAATGGTTCTAAGCGCCTTCTCTGTCCAATAGTGTTGGGGGACTCCTTGAAGTTGAATCCAGAAGAGGATTTTAGAGGGAAAATCCTCGGAGATAACTGGCTCCCATCGTTGCAGGATGAACATCCAATGCTTAAAGTGGAAAAGGGACCAGCTCAGGACCAGTTGGAGATCTTCTTCTCTTTTGAAGGTGAATTGGAAACGCCCGAGGCCCAATTCCTTACCAGAGACTCTGTCTTCAAGATTCCAAAACTGCAACATATATTGGACCAGAGCTTTTGCATTCTGTACCCTAGGGTTTGTCACCCTCCCCACTAGGGTAAGATTGTTCTTCACTATAAGTTCTTGGTTATCACACTCCGGCAGACGAATCGGAGACCGTAGCTTCAGTTTAGGTGGATTGGCCACCCATTTGGCTTTATCTTGTCTTGAATAACGGTGAGACATCTTGACCGGCGCTAGTAGCTTCGGTTGTAACAAGGGGACGCGACTTTCGCTTACAGAAACAGAACTGTAAAAGCAGAGTAGACCGGCAACCACACAGAAACAACGCTCACACTCTTAACTAGATAACTACCACAAACCGACTGCACCTGAGCAGTAGCACCTCCAAGGGGGAGTACAAACTCCAGAATGGAGTAAAACCTTCAGACTGAAGTAAAACTTAGAGGACGTCCCCTAAGTAAAACGCTTTCCGGAGCCGAACCAAAAAACAGAGACCTGATTCATGTCCGTGGAGAAAGCCCACAACATTCCAGTGGTAAAATTCAAAAAAAAAAATTAAATTTAAGCAAGAATTTTTTTGAATAAATGTCGCCGGAAAAAACAGTTGCGGAGGAGATCAGCTTTCTACGGTGGATACATTGGTAGTTTCTGTGGATATCTAAAACAAAAAATAGATGCTTGACAAAATATAAATGAATAAATATAGATCTACAAGGAAAGTTGAATATCTACACTCAGGGATAATTAAAAAATTAAGGATCTAAATAGATCTGGGGATATAGAGAAGGAATTTAGAGCAACATTATTGGTGGTATGTTAATATTGGCTCTTAGCCTTATTTTATTAATAATTTTGAAAATTTTAAACTTAAGAGATTGGATAAAAGTTTTAATTTTTGGCATTGTCCAATGGTAGTATCTTAAGTTGGAGATCTTAAGTGTATGAAGGTATGAAGAAATATAGAGCTCAGAATTAAATTGAAGAATCCTTGAACCACTTACCTTAATGAGAAACATTGAATCCACACGTTGTAGTCTTTTGTGTTCATGGTGTAAAAAAGAATTTTCACATATTACTGAAGTAAAACAAACAATTCACAGATTAATGAAGCTGAGTTTTGTCAAAAGCTTAAAGAATACAACAAATACAGATAAGAAGCAACAAAAACATGTCTTATGTTATGCGGCCATGTCAGAAGTCCAGAGAGTGAGGTTATCACGAAGAAGCTGCATAATCAAAGTACTGTCCTTTTATGTTCTGCAGCATATTTCCTCTCTTGACCAGATTTGAACTCAGCCAAGTATCTATGATAATCTCCTTTCATCTTCAAAACTTTATCTTAGGAATCATAGTACATCTTTCCGATTGTGATAATCTCTCCGATGCTCCTCCATTGTAGAAATCATAGTACATCTTAGGAAGGGCATTTGAGATGCAACTTGACAGACTTGGAACCTTGGCTCTCGTTTTTTACCAAACCCAAAACGTATACCAAAGTAAAATGCAACGGAAAGCAGCCATGAATCCGATAAAGCTGGTTTAGGAAGCTCAAGAGGAACTTCCTCGACGGGAACATCCACTTCTCATGTCTCATTTGGACTCCATAGCTGGTTAATGAAGCACTTTTTTTCTGCATAAACACGAAAGAAACATTATAAGAGAAACCGAGGACTAACTCAAACTTTGGCTGTAAATATAACTTTTGAAGCTAAGCAAGAGTAGTTTGACACTAGTGAGGAAATAACTAACTAGGATCACATGTTTTGTAAAAACTTCACCATCTACACAAAGAAAACAAATATTCACGAACCCAGATTTTTCAAATCTCACGAAAATAACAAGAAACCCACAAAACCAACTATTAAATAGTGCTCTGCAGATTTTTTCTGTATCCCTCTAGGCTTTCTTTCACCTTTAATAACACATCAATTTTCAACAAATAAATCTCAACGAAACCTAACAATCTGAGGTATAGCAACAAAAACTAATCAAATTATAGAATAAAATTAAGATCCCACAAAGTTTTAATCCAAACAATAATCAACACTGATGCAACAATACAATCGGAGAAAACAATCGGATTTAATCGAAACAATAATCCCCATACTCAAACAACATCAATTCATACATGCAGAGACAGATTCCTACCTTTTCGAACCGATTGGTGAAGGAATAACTCCGATTTGTTAAAAAAATCGGAGATCTTGTGAACAGTCTCTTCGATTTCGATTTGCCAAACTCGCCGATTAGAGCTTCTCCTCTTCGCCGTGGACACCCCGCGTCATAAACATCACCGGAGTCTCCGATGTTTCCGATTGAAGTTTCCCGAAATCGGCTCTCGTTTCTCTGTTTTCGCCACGTGACCGTCTCTTAAGCCTAACTTTCGTTCCTTAGCTAAGGAACGTCTGTTAGTGTTAAAGGAGGAAATTGATTAAATATAATCACTTTTATTGCTAAGATTTTGCTAAGATTTTGCTAACATACCCCCTATAATCATGCTCTTAGTGAGGGAAGGGAGAAAAATACAAATAAAAACTAGATACTATACAATCGTGAAAGCAATGGAATGAAACAAGTACATGGAAATTTTTTTGAATTTTGTCCACTGACAACATTAAGCTGGCGGGTTAACAGGAAGTGAGCCAATTTGCCAGAGAAGACATGTTTGGAGTAGACATCAAGAAGTTTCCCGAAGCAAGGCCTAATGGTTTCAATCTCTTCAGGCGTAAGAGCTTTCAGCACAACCTTGATCGTATTGAGCTTAAAGCACATATTCACCCTATCGCCAGCAGGTTCCTCTCTATTGGCGAACAATCGGGAAAACAGCTCCAAATCAGCCATACTTCTAAACAGTAAAAAAATAGAACAGTAAGTTATGTATCAACATCAAGTATAAATAAAAGAGAATAAATAGATGTATACAAAAAAAGATGCACATCAAAATACATATATATAAATTAGAGATGTGGATCTAAGTAAATATGTGTATATCTACAATATATATACTTTTTAAAACATTTGTTTATCTTTTATTATAAACACAAAACTCTATTGTCGATTAGCTAAATACATATCATAACTTTATTTCTGCACAAAATCACCCAAAAAATAATAATCACTTTAAATCAAAGATAAGCAGCAGCTTAGGCCCAAAAATGACCAAATGGCTCGAATATGTAAGCAAAGTAATCAAGTGTATACTACATTTTTTTTTTGTTAAAGCCAGTGTATACTAGCCCTGAGACGGATCCAAATATCTAGCAAAATCAAGTGTATCCGGATCCGAATCTACAATTTCACTATCCAGATCCGGATCCGAAACTCGCCGATATCCAGAATCCGGGTATCCGCAAGAAAAACCGGATATCCGGATCCGATCCCAATTACATCTAAAATTGAACCATCGTCGAGGCATGTTGTCCTAGCTCTGCCGCAGTCAGCTAGCTCTACCGTAGTAGCCAGCTCCGCCGACGTCCATGTAAGGAGTTGTCATCTTCGTCGACAAAAGAAGCTCTTGGGAAACTAAAGCCACACGATCTCTGAATTCTTCACAAGCTCAATTGTAACGTCCCGACCGCCATCTCTTTTAATGGGCTCCACGTCCTTTCTCGGCCCGTGGGCTCACCATCTTCCGACAGCCGTGAGAGGAAATGGGGCCTATTAAGAGAGATGGCGGTCGGGACGTTACAAGTGGTATCAGAGTCGAACCCAGACGAGTGTAGAGTCAAGAGGGCTCACACCGTAGGGGGTGAAGGTCTTGGTGCGCAACGAGGACATTGCGAGATATTAGTGGGGGTGAATTGTAACACTCTGGTTTCAAGAATATGGTGGTGCATGCAGAGAGGTTTAAAATAATTGATTTGGCCACCTATATCACCAAAGTGCACTTATCTTTTCGGTCAACTGTCCTGAGAGAACTCCACAGTTAAGGGTACTTGAGCTAGAGCAATTTCAGGATGGGTGACCTTCCGGGAAGTGATTGTCGAAACTGTATGAGTAAAGACAAAACACAAGGAAAGATCATGTGGGGATTTGTAGGATCGGTAAACAAGTCTTTAAAGCCTTCCGGACGGAACAGACTGGCCATCAGACATGGGTGGGCCCATGGGCCCGAGACATGACGTGGGACCCATTGGTAAGGACGGTCCGAGTGTTACATCAACCACCAAATCTATCAACCACACAATAAATCCACCACGTTTCCTTTCACAGATCTATTAAAAATAAATCCATCGTCATTGAAATCTTCCTGATCTCACACCAATTCCGTCGATTCGTCACCGGAATCACATGAATTAATAGATGTTGGAAAGAGACTGTGGATAATAAGGATGTTCAATGGTAAATAAGTCTGGTTTCTTTCGAATATACTAAATAAGATTGGTTTGTTCCGTACTTAATTTTCTAATTTCTTGAATTTTAGTATTCCCGAACTTGTAATTTAAAGGCCACCTATTTAGTCAAGACTTCTAGAGCTTTATATTATGAATTATTTTTTGTAAATATATTTAGTATTTACTCTTGATTGGGTTCTAATCGAAGAGTGGTTGAAAAACAAAAGAAAATGATATGATATATATATATATATATATATATATATTTATTTATTTATTTATATCCATAGAATAATAGTAGGTCTTGTAGTCTATTATCAAATATTTGTACCATAATATGCAAATTTGTAAACTTTGGTTATTACGTATAACTGATACATAAAAAAACATTGTTGTGACTTTAGTTCTGATGCTCGCCATCATTCATCATCAAAACAAATCAACAAGACTTAGAAAATCTTTTAAAAAAAAAAAAAAAACAACACAACTTAGATATTAAAGTTCCAAAAGAGTTATGACTTATGAATCAGCTACAACCATTACCAACCACAATTTAGAGTCTTAGATAGTAGGCTTGGCTTAAAAAATTCAGAAGCATAAGGGAAGATACTTTGTGAATGGAAACAAAACATACAAATTACAAAAACAAAAGGATAGGAAATGAATTCAAGGATAATATAGTATATCTAGAAAGGTAGAAATGACAAATGGTATAAAAAAATATGGATAAAGATCCCAAGAGATTCTTCCAAAAGTAGTTTAATCAGAAGGCTTGATATATGATACAACATTGATGAACATATATTGGACCAATACCATACTACTCATTTATCGGAAAATTTAAGTTTTACGGGATATCGATGTTACATAGATTATTCTTGGAAGGAGACCAATTTATTTGCAAGTTTAGGATGCTTTTGCTTTTGAGATGATATAATAGGTGTCCATAATGTGTGCTCAAAATTTTAAAAGTTTTTTCTCTGCTATATTCTAAATTAGAAGCACTCATATGGGTTATGAAGTGTATTATCGACCAACAAAAAACGACGATAGCATTTATAACAGATTATTCAGATTCGGTGAAGATGGTGTCTACATGATATATTTTCATGTATTCTCTTTACATTTGAAGGAATTCAGAAAGAGTAAGAAGTTATATTTTCCCTTTTTCTATCTTGTTTATACCATATGGTTTAAATTTTTAAATAGACTGATTAACAAGTAGTTTTCCACTAAACCCACAAGATATTAGATATGTAAACTTTGTTTTCCGATTTAGATTTCTAAACCATTTTAGTTATATAAGTTGTTGAAAAATGAAGAATAATATTAAATCTAGTTGGAAAAAATAAATAGAAAAGTTTTTGTAAGGAAATAAAAATACAAAAGTCAAACACCTTCTTGCACAAAGTCATTTTTTTGCACAAAGTCATAAATCGGCCAGATCACCAATTAGAAATTTAAATTTAAGATATTATGTACACTAACACAAATGATTACCAAAAAACATTAATAATCGAATCGAATCAATTATTAGCCAGCCTTTAATCAGAAATATTTCAGATTATAACGTGGTAGATCCGGTGTAGTGGACCATATTAGTATACTATATATATATATATATATATATATATATATATATATATATATATATATATATATATACGTGACCCCAAAAGAAATCTTTAAAACCATTATAGATATGGAGCTAAAGAGGACATTGCTATTGAAAAGAGGAATATCCCGGGCGGTGAGTTTGGTAAAGGACCTCCGCAGCAAACGGCTGGCGAAGAACAACATGATCGGAGAATTAGAGATGGCGAAGAGAAACGGTGCCGTTTACGAACAAACGGAGGAGAACGGAGTGATCAGGATTAGAATGTTCGTAAAGAAATGTGACCTAGAGAAGCTCATCTACAATGGTGATGATAGAATACGATACAACGACTTTTTGGTACATTCTTTGGTGGAACAAAGATTGAGACAACTAAGAAAAAAGCATCATGCAAAGGTGGTGGATAAGATTGGAGCGTCTGCTTGGACTCCTGTATTACGAAGCATTCCGGAAGAGTTTTAATTTATTTTCTTTTTTGTCATTCATTAAACTTATTTTCTCTTTTTTTATATATATATATATATTTCTGATAATACCAGTTTTGGCTGGATATCAGATTCTTGATTTCTTTCTTTTATAAAGATTTTGGCCTTGAAACAATTAAATGCTTATTATTTATAAAAATTAAGATCTTTGTTCTTTTTCAATGAACCACAACTTGATTGGAGTAGTTGTCATTGATCCAATTTAGTTTGTGTAAAAATCATGGATCCAAAAACAAATGATCACTGTGTATTACCTTTTTTTTTTTTTTTTTTTTTTTTTTTTTGAAAACGATCACTGTGTATTACCTATTTAACTTTAATTATACATTAGTATTATTTTTGGTTTACTTATTATGTGACATGTTGTAATTATACGATCGAAAAGAAGTTAAGGCTATGCAAAAATATTGGTAGTACCCGTTTCAATTTTCTTAAAGAAATCTACATACATACATATAGATATCGAAACGATTACAAAATAAACAAAATATTTGTCAGTCGCAAACAAACCATAATTCTAGTTTACATGTTTGTATCGAGATAAGTAACCAACGGTGCACAAATCTAACGAAACAAGTAGAACAAATGTGATTAGTGAGTCTTGAAAAAGCAGCAAAACAAAGACTACAAAATATAGGGATTTTGCCAAAATATTTTATATGAATAAAGATTATCACAATTTATGTGACAAAAAAAAAACATCTTTGCATTAGACCTGTGACAACTTACAATTTCGTTTTTTTTTATATAGTTTCTGTCGCACTGAGGTAACAAAATTTAATGTCACAAACGATTAGTTTTTTTTCACAAATTCTGTGAATTTTGTAACAGTTTATCCCGTCATAAAAGTTGTCTATATATTTGTCAACTAGTTTCCTTCTAAAATTAAATGGAACAAATAAGGTATCCAATTTAGTAACCAAGTTATTTTTACAATTTCTAGCTATGTAGTATTCGTTGAAATTAAATTTTAAGCAAATTTCGACAATATTCAAGTTACATTTGCTTCTTGATATACCTCTTGTCAAGCTTCCGCTTTTGAAGGGTTGTTGATTGCTATGTTTACTAAGGGCGAAGAAGGATGATCTTTTATCAGGAGACTCTGAAGGAATCCGATCATCTGTGCATGTAAAGCAATGTCATTATTTCAGGGAATATTAATAATCAACATACATAGTTGTGCTAACTGATGATATGGTCGTATAGATGTAAAGAATACCAAAGAGATGGCGATGCATAGAATGCTGAATCCAGGGAAATAGAATGGTGCTTTTTCGGAGAGAAACAACGCTATTATCAAACAAAAAATTAATTATTTGTTAAAGGAAAGGAAAATTCTCTTTCTCAATAATGACTAATAACTAATGAACTTGATGAATGGTGTTTTACTAATGGATAATGATTAATGAATGTTATTCATTAGTCATTTAGTTTTACTGTGTTTACTTACCCGTCAATGGACTATATACAAATGGAGCCACAACTTGAGCAAAAGCCCTTACCCCGGATATACATCCTTGGACCTTCCCCTGGATAACGAGGTGAAAATAAAAAATAAAGACATCAATATCGTGTTTAAATTAAAGGTGTGTTGGCACAAATGTTGAAAAATGAATCTATAGTAGTTAATCTTGTTCTTATTTAACATGTTAATTGATAAACAAAATAGAATACATATATTAAAAGCCCTACAATTTAATTGTTAAGCTTTGTGGATTTCCAATTCAAAAGCAAGCCAAGAGTGGATTGGTCATATCTTTTTTATATTACTCTACTAGTATTCTCTTACTTCAAATGTGAGATTTCTAATACAAAAACTCAGATTCAATGTCTTTATAGGCCTTTTAACAAAAAAAAAAAAAACGAAAACTCATTATATGATCAATTTGATGTCTTATCGATCATATCAAGTCCATATTGGTTAACTCATACCAATTTTGGGTTAGATCAAATTCGGTTCAGGTTGAGCTAGCGTATGTGTTAAACTCTTCTACTATCTTAAGTCTGGTGAGCTTCAAACTCAAAATTGTATTAAACAAGGTGAATGAGTGAATGAAAAAAAAAACAAGGGGAATGACTCATATCATTTATACATTACTCTAAATTCCTTATTATATTTCTTATAAAAGTACTTTGAAAACGTTAAACCAATGAAAAGTTGGAAGAAGAAAATAACTTTTACGGTTTTACCTGTTCACCGGATCCAACTTGTCTTGAGGCAATACCACAAACCTATAATTAAATTCAAGATATTTTTAAACAATACTAAGTACAAGGCTCCATTACTAAGGACCATGATGAGGTAAAATCTTACCGATGGCATCACAAACATGGCTCCGGGCACAAGCAAGGTCATGGCATAAGGAACCTATATTGTTCAACCAAAACAAACAATCCTATTAAATTTGTAATCTTTTACAGGTTTAATTACTCTCGAACTCTCTTGGATCAAAGATCCCGATTTAGAAGGAAATTTAAACCAAAGTCAACTCAATAATTCTTGAAACTATTAAGAGTTCTCAGCAAACTTACCCATGGTGACCAAGCAACACTGAGACAAGCCGCCTGCACGACAAGCACATAAACAAATTTCTTAGCTCTACAAAGTATATACCATGATTAACGACACCGATTTATTGAGAAAGTTATAGATTAATTGGAGAAATATGAAGATTAAAACAAACTAAAATGTTTACGTTGAAGAATTCCATAAGAAGCCCTGTTGATAACACCTTACGTTCTCCAATGGCAGAAACCAATATTGGCAGTATAAACAGCTGAGAATATAAATTTAGCAACAAGAAACAATGATCAATATTTTGGTAACTATGGATGTTATTACATACATTTTACAATATTTACCTGGGAGATGGAGCCAATGATGGTAACCAACAGAAATAGCTCAGCAAAGTCATTTTTGTTGAACTCAAAACGGGCTTTCAAAAAATACTGTTTTATTAAAAATAGTTTTTGTTTTATTAAATAGATTTTTGAAGTAAAATAAAGAATTTAAAAGTGTGGTGATGAGAAAAACCATGAGAGCAGACCCCCTTCCACTTTCCGAGAAGGTAGCAAAAAATGTAACAACCAATGCTTGAATGAGTATGGTGCTGTGTTATAAAAACCATTTCAACCATTTCGATCGCTCCGGGTCATGTATATGTATATAAATGAAACGTACCTTTTTTTAGTTTTGTTAAAAATTAATGAAACGCACCTATTCAATATCAAGCTGACCATATCTTTCAAAGACGAATACTTAGTGTTGAAGACATGTGTCTTAGTTGGTGTGTCTCTTAGTACCGGCTCTGCTAATAACATCTTCAGATCTTCACCATCATGAACCTCTTGATGACTTCTACCATCACCACTATCGTCTTCATCATCATCTTGTAACCTCTCTTTTAGGAAAACTCTCATATACACCAGGCCAATGAATAATGATATAGCTGCAACCTAATGTATTGCAGTTTTCTTATATATACATGAGTTAAAGGTATGAGCAAAATAAATCTTTAAATAAAGAAACAAATATTGTAAACAAATCATTTTTCTCAAAGTTTTGGTGAATTTTCAAGTGACAACCCTTTTTTTGGACAAGAAAAAATCAATATATTAAGTTATAAAAAACATATTTTAATTAGGAAAATGATTGCATAATATTTTGAGTTTGTCTCTTAATTTCATGATTTTTTGTTAGCATGTATAATGATACGATACCTGAAAAGTCGAAGCTATGGATAAAAAACGAGCTGAGAGTGATGCACAAACTCCGGAAATTGAGCTGACACCTGCTAAAATTCCGAACATTGATATTCTTTTTGTGCCATGAACATTTTTAGCCTGAAAATATAATCAAACGAATTGATCTCATTTAAATGTTCCATAATTTTTTTAAAACAACAAAATATCTATAATATAATCAAGGTGAAAAGACAACACAATTTACCACATAAGCATTAGCGAGACAGTCAATGGTGCCTTGGCAGACCATATCGAATAGAGTCTTGATTATATAAAATGCATAAAAGAAATTGGTATCCCTTCTGTACCCTAATATTGCTGCAAATTTAACAACATTTTAGCACAAAAGATAATATGATGAATATGAAGTAGTAATGACCATAACATGTAGTTTAGTGGTTTATAATAGTCGTGGTTTGGTCCTTGCGATCAACACTTCATCCACCTTCTCTGAGCTACATGGTGTTCTTTCGGACATTCGTATCTCCTCTCTATCTTTTTCAAGTTTCAGTTGTATTTCTATTCCTAGAGCGGCTAATGTTGTGGCTGACTCTCTAGCTAAACTTGCTCTCTCAGCGTTCGCTGTTGACTTTGCTTAAGTTCTAATGAAAAAGTTTGGTGCACAAAAAAAAAAAAGTGTATGTTCTTTTGTTGAGATTTTGTGTATTTTTAGTATGTTTAGAATCAGAGACATCTTTTGAGTCATTTCCTTTCAAGTGCTATTACTAGAAAGAGCGAAACTGGAATGAAAACGTGCAAAGATACATGATGACATCTAGTGTGACCGATCAGGAAGACTTGTCTCAGCAACTTTGCCTATGACCGTTCTAAATGAGTGTCGACCTAATTTTTTCTATTTTGATATGGTTTGTCCCATGTCAATCTTTATCCAACTTTATGGGTCATAGAATTGATTTTGATAAGCTCTTCTTCTATATTTTCTTCTAAACCTAAAGTTGGCAAACTTTATGGACAATATCTTGAACTTAGAAGTGGATGTTTGTTTATTGCATCTTTTTCATTTGTTGATTCATTTTCGAGAAGATATATAAATCATCTTACTAACTTTGACAACAAAATCCAGTGCCATGCTCAACGTTGTGGCAGAAAGGCATTTGCCTAAGGTAACCAAAATTTGAAAACTTAAAAAGCCACTTTCTTTTAATAAACCTTATTATGAGTTTCATTAGTTTAATAAATATGTTTGAGTTATTTGTTTAGTAAAAACCCGGAAGAACGACCTTTTTCCACCCTAACTATTTGCCAGCGGCCTTTTCAGCCAAACTCCGATCCTTTCTCTTTTTCAAGGCGAACCAAAACATAATTCAAATTGCAAACCTGACCTTTACGAAGATTAGCCGATTTCAACATATCTCTAAACGGTGTTACTTAGACATTAAGGATTGCTGAGTCTGCAGAGTGTGGAATTAAAGGATATTGAACATCCTTATGATTGGGGGGGATTTATGCTCCTATGAAGAACCAATTTTAAACTTTGATCAATTTAGAAATATGTTGAAATCGGCTAATTTCATAAAGATCAGATTTGCAATTTGAATTTTTTTTTGGTTCAGGTCGAGAAAGAGAGAGGATCGGAGTTTGGGTTGAAAAAAATCGCTGGCAAATAGTTTGTACTGAAAAACGATGTTGCCCCATTAAAAGCCCATATCCTTATAATTGCTATTATTACACATTGTGTGCTTTACAATTTCTATGTTTTTGGTTTTTATTAATACTATTTTGAATGTTCTGAAAAATTATTATTATTATTATTATTTTAATTGAAAGGACCACATTTTTAAACTTCGGTTTGCCTGAGCACGGCACTGACTTAATCATGTATTCCATAAGTTTAATTTTATAAATAGTAGTTCCAATTAATAACAATAGGATAATAGCAACAAGAAAGCTCCCAAAATATATATGTATATATATAGCAAAATGTCTACGCCAAACGAAAGAGACATGCAAACAGAACTACAGAAGTGATCATACTTCTAAATTGGCACTATGCTCATAAATATAGATGCATAATCAAGGCATCTTTCGTTTTATTGGTACACTTTATACTCATGACTACTTTTTGAAACATTATCTCAACAATTATTGGTATATATATATAACTATTGACTTTCCATGTATTTTTTAATTCTATCAGAAATATACAACTTATAATAAGTTCTTTAGCTAATAAAATGGTAAAAAAATTAATAACAAATATTGTTGATGATATAATAACTAAAGCGGGAAAAGGAACCTGGAGGAAGAATAGAGAGGCACATTGGAAGAGTGAGCAATGCTTTGATTCCATATCTGTCGGATAGATTTCCAATCACTGGCATCATTATCATTGTCCCAAGTCCTACCGTCTAGTTTTTTTTTTTTTTTTACCATTTTCACCATCAGAAAAAAAAAAGTTTACATTAATTAGTTTAATTTTCGTAAGATTATTTTATTAGAAAATTCAGTCAATTTCTAAATTTATATAGAAATTGATAAAACACTACTTGAAACTAAAACGCCAATTAGAAAACTGAATATATTTCAGGACTATCCTAGCCAAAAATTTAAACGCATGCTACAAAGTTTTGAAAATATTTATTTATAAACAAACTTTGTCACAATTTCTGATGATTTTTTATTTTGATCGCAAATTTTTATTTTGATTTAGTTCTTGGGCACAACATACATATATCATGTATCAAAAAGCTTAACTGCATGATGTCATCAATTACTGATAACCTCAAACTATAATTAGTTTGGTATAGTCACTATCAAATTATCTTCAATTTAATTTACTGCAAATCAAATGTAATAATTAACATTCGGGTTGACGTTGAATATTTCTTGAGAATTGTTTTCATCCTAATGAAATAATTCCCGTAGACTATAGAATTCACATTCATATTTTCGAATTTTAATTTCCTTTATTAATGAAACAACTAGAATCGATTAATTCATTGTTATATGTTATCAATTTTGAAGACATTGAAGATTGTTTGGAAGCATTTGTTATGATCAAAAGATTAAAGAGTCATCAACCCCCAAAGAAAAGAGATAAGTTATTAAAGAGTAAAAACAACAACAGTAACGCCAATATGCATGGATATATATCTAAGTAGAGGTGGTTACCACTTGTTGTACTCCGGTGAGATAGACGGCGAGAGAACATGAATCATTTAGGCCGGAGCAAACCGCGGCGACGGTGACGTCAGTCATCACTGGCCTAAGCAAGTATTCGGCGAATCCCGACAAGAAAACCGTCATCAGTATATGTCTCAGCTCTCCAACTCTAAATTCCTCCATCTCTCTCCTCTCCTAAACTTAACTTCAAATTCTGAACTATACATGATTGTCTCGCAGATTAATGTATATCTTATACTAATATCCACATGCGAATATCCATACATTAAAAAAATATATTCATATATGAAATTTTGTGAAACCATATAATAAAGCGTGATATAACATTTATAATTAGGCTGTCAGTAACACCTCGGTGGATGCATGGTCTTTTTCATTTTAAAATGCAATTGTAAATTATTTAATCGATAAAACACGATAAATGTTATTGGCAAATCGAATCAGAATCAGTCATTGCTCTTTATGGGAATTGGATATTTGTAAACAAAGAGAGAGAGAGAGAGAGAGAGAGAGAGAGTAAGTGATACCCCCACCGGCTCCCCTCTGCCTCACGGGTTTACTCAATGGTCATAAGTGGAAAGTATATTATTATAAGATTAAAGTGGTTTCTGATTAGAAAAATAAACTAAAAATAAATTAAAAATAAAACAATAATTTTTAATAAAAAATCTGAAAAACGTTTTTCATTTGAAAATCTATATATCAAACTCCATTATATAAAAGTTTTAAACTATATATGAATATTATTTTTCATTGATATTAGTTAATAAGGTTAATATAAATATAATTAATATTTTTAGTAAATAAAATTTTATAATCACTACAAAAAAAGATCATTTTACATCATTTATTTTCAATATTTGTATTACTTATAATTGATGTAAAAGAATTTTACATCACTTAAATAATTGATTTATATATTATTGATGCAAATAATTTACATCATTTTATTAAAAACTGATGCAATTATACATAATATTTGCATCGCTTGTCATAACTGATGTTTATTTTGAATCGGTTACAAAAAATGATGTTAATGTTTACATCATTTTGTGCAAGTGATGTTAGTGTTTGTAACAGTTATTATAACTGATGTCAATATTTTCATCACTTATAAATAATTGATACTAAAACTAGTATCACTTTTCATAACTGATGTTACTAATTATATCATTTATGATAAACGATTTACTAAATACATCATTTATAATAATTGATTTAAATCATTACATCATTTTAACAAAATTGATGTTATATTTATGTCGATTTTCATAAATGATTGTAGTTATAGTATCATTTATAAAAATCGATGAGAATATTATTTTTTTATAATTGATAAAATCATGTATTGAAATGATTTCACATCGTTTATAAAGTGACACAAATTAAAATACTAACAACGTGTTTTAACATATATTTTTTTAATCCAGAAAAAATAATTAATTAAAAACAAAAATAAAAGAAATTTAATTAATAATAAAAAAAAACTGAAAAACAAATTACATAATCAATCCATCGTGCAAATGCATAAATATAAATAAACTAAAAGTAGATAAAACGTTTTGCTAAATAAATTTTGATCATAACTAGCATTTATAACTCTTAAGCGCTTAAACGTTTATCCACTGGCACCATTATCCTTTTCCTGGAAAATAAATCATTCAATGTATTAATTTATTATATAAATATCTGGTATATATGAAATTGATATGTAAATATCATTTACCTGAGGATTAGGCGGATTTGGAATGTTTACAAATGGTGGATTTGGTATGTTCGCAAAAGCCGCTGCAAAATTTATAGCCCATGCACTTGCCTGAATATTTAGTTTAAAACATTAGTATTATATATAGAATTATAATAATGTAATTTAAATTACAAATTATTATTATATTTTATTACCTGTTCACGAGTTGAAGTACCAAGTATTTGTGGGAAGAACTTAGACATTCCATTAACTTGATCACCTAATGCCTTCACTTGTGCCTTCAGCTGGACGACCAATTCAGAATTTTCTGTCTCTTGTCTTCTAGGTGCACTTGAATGTTTCACTAATCTTGAAGGTGTGGGCCCACGACCAACACAACGTACTCGTCCTGGACGCTCTGGACCGAACACCTGACTATATTCATCATCCAAGCTAGCTGTAATATTGTTTGTGACTTGCGGATTTTGACTCAACAACGTCGTAAGTGCTTCTTAAAAAAAAGTAGAGAATGATAAATATTTCATCCAATAGATTTTCATAGTGACTGAATAACGCATCTCAAAATTTTATTTAGAGATCACTTCCAAAAACTATTGACCAAAATTCATAGTAACTTTAATAAAACTAACCGCGCGTATTTTTGCCTCATCACATACAAAGCTTCCATCCTGTTTCTTGCGAGTCTCAATGAAAAACTCAGCTCGACATGGCGTTTTTCCAATCTTGGTTTTCTGCGTTAAACAATATACAAAATCAATAATATACTAGGATTATATATATCATACCTATGTAACTCACAATTTCGTCTCTTTTTCTTGAAAAACTCTTCCTTCCACATAAGTGAGGCATGATATTATTTTTCTGGTTCTTTGTATTCCGCTCTTGCATTTTCTGAAAGCTCATATGTTAAAAAGAAATTAATTGCATTTGATATAGCATGCTTCCTATAAATATCCAACGAATAAACTATACCTTCCACTTTTCGGTGAATCTCATGTGAACCAAATGAGACCATTGATCTTCAGGAATTTTGTCGGGTCGATTCTGCAACGTTTCGTTCAGATTACTTTTTTTGTAATCGTTCCAAACACGTTGTTTGACATCCTTGCATCTGCTACCTAATGCACCCATCACATATTCTTTTCTCATCATCGGATCATCAAACCTGAATTTGGACTGAAATGATATAAAATGAAACGAGTCATCAGACCTAAATATAATCTTAAAACATCCCATGGTTTAAAAAATTTATAGATAGATGTTACCTGAATTACTTCCCATGCTCTTGTTTTTATATGAGGACTAACCAACCTCCAATCGGTGTAGTTGATGGGTAGCAAATGGACATCATTGCTTAATTGCCCCAACCATGATCCAAGTAAACCTCCAGAATCACCAATTGGCTGACCGGTATCTTCATCGAAATGCACAATTACTTGGTGGTTTTGCATTTTCCAGACATCTTTAGATGTCATCATTTTGCCTTCTATGTTTCCATCGACATCTTGTTGATAATTACCACATATATATCAAACCAAAATCGAATTAGTAAATAAAATCAAATTAACATATATGCTAAAGCAGATTAGTTATAAAGAAGTGCAAATTTGACTAAATATATCAAAAGCCAAAGCAGATTATTAGTATTACCTATCACTTCAATTTTCCATTTGAAGCTTATACATTCTGGAGCAAGTGCGGGAGGATTATTGTAATTTGTTTCCAAATGTGGTAAATCATCTGGTGCTTGTGTTTCTGAATCCGTAAACTCCATGATCCTAATCAAGGAAAAAAAAATTGTTAGCAATACATATTTCTGTTACAAAGAAAGAAATATGATCCTAGATTTTCAGCTTTTTTCTATGCTTCCTATGATTCTATTCTACAGAAAAAGGAATTCTTAGTTTGATGACAAAAATATGAGGCAACGATCAAATATAATCATATGATAAAAAAAAATATAAAATAATTCATCGAGACAAAAGAAAAAAAAATGTAAGCCACGTTAAGCCACTTTCATGGAATCTCACGTTAAGCCACTTTCATGGAATCTCACGAAATCAAAACATAGGATTTTAGATTCTAACGAATTAGCTTCGAGAATTTTGGAGATGAATCATTAGCAGAAACAAAAAAGAATGATCGAGCCACGAAGATTAAAAACGACAAGGAAAAAAAAACGTGTGGTTATAGCTAAACCAGACTGTAAGCAAAAACCTAAAAGGAGATGATTAAATAAATCATGGTTTGTTCAAAATCCAGAATTTAAGTTAAAGAAGAAACATTTTAATCATATAAAAATCAAATCACAAAAGAATGAATCGATGGTGACTATTTACCTGATTGATAAAAGAAGACGACACACAAACACCGTCACAGCCGCCGGAGCTGCAAACGGAAATCGTCAGTTCTGCCGCTAACATTTCACAAAGTTTACAGACAGATTTCAATAACATGACAGTTTACACGGTTATATTCACAAATTTAAAAGAAATTTGGACTGATCTAGTCAAAAAGAAACTTTGATTGATCTACGCCAACTATATATGTTCTAATGGCAATACTTATATGATCAAGAAATAAGTATGTTTAGATGATGAGAATGCAAATAGTTTACTGAAAATTGTACTAAGATTATACTACTTGAACAGACAACCTAAATAGAGGAAAAAAAACTCACTTTGTGTTGATAAACCTTCTGTTCAATGTGAATGGTGATCTCTGGGAGACTGGATTAAGCTCTGTGACGGTTCCTCCCAAGAGAATATTTAGAAGCCCTAAATCCAACAATTTATTAGTGATCTATTTATATAAAATATTATTACTTATTAAATTGGAAAATTAATTCCCGCTGAAATAAAATGTTAAGCGGGTCTTACCAAACAAAAAACTAAGCAGGATCTGAAAATTTTAGATTTTTTTTTCACTAAAAATGACCCGTATCAATATCTTATTGCAACAACTTATATTGATTTGTCCTATGATATTGTATGATTAATAATTTATAAATTTTAGTGAGTGCTTACCATGAAATAAGTTGGCCTAAATCGAAAACATCACGTACGTTTGTATCTTCTCGATCTTTTGTAGTGTATCTCTCAACCAGCTCCAACCTAGACCTCGATTGGTGGCTGCGGCAACTTCTTCTTGTGCTTCCACAGAAGCCTCCGTCTCTGCACTAGCTTCCTCCTCCGGAGTCTTGCCGCTGGTCACTGGTGGCACCAAAGAGTCAAACTTGTCTGACCCTATCTGATCAATCTTTGCCTTCTGTACCATATGAAGCTTTTAGAATCATTCCAAAGAATCAAATTCTTCACAGTATCTCTACTTACAAATCAGTCAAATTCTTGAGATTGCTTAAAGGACTTGTTCCGGCCACTGATGTTGTTTGAAGAGCTTAACCTGTTCTTGAAGGCATGCACCGTTGGAACGACTCCTTCATCACGGACCTTTGAAAGATTTTCACTTAAAAAGTCTATGAAAAGAAAAAACAAACACAATATGTCAGTGAATAGAAAACCAGGTTACAAGGACACACAAGAAGCTTAAAATCATACCTTGGATCGTTAGAACATAGTAAACGGTGGCACAAAGCTGTAAATCCAGCTCTTGTCTATCTATTGCACCATTGTGCTTCATTTCTAAAAGCACTTCCAAGACTATGATTTTAGAAAAAGAAAACCAGCACCCAACACATATTCGAACATGGTAAACATATGTCTAGGAAGTAACGGAAATTCCAGGAATAGATTCACCATCAAACTGTTCTGAATCATTTTGATCACCCATGTCATATACGTCTCTAGGTTGAATATGAACTGCATAATTCCATTCTTCTTTGCAAGGATCAGCTACATAATACACCATCTTTGCCTGAGACGCCAATATGTATGGTTCATCCTCTGCATTATCTCCAGTATGTAACAAACGTGAAAAATTCACCATATGATGATCATATGCATCCATTTTGTATCCTCGTTCCGTACGAGTATCAACCCACTTGCACTTGAATAATACAACTTTGAAAACCTCATAGTAGTTTAACTCTATAACTTCAACCAAATTTCCATAGTAAGCTACAGTTCCTGTTATTGGGTTAGGGTCTCGAGAACTAGCATAACTCATAGTCTCAGCAGCTACATAAACGCCACTATTTTGGGTTTTCAGGTCAGCATCTCTTTCTATTGTTCGGAACTTGAAACCATTAACATTGTAAGCAGTATACTTCACAACTTTTTCAGATGGACCCAACGCTAAGCATCGTAAATCATCAGTTATCCCATCTAACTCGTTTACCTCTACTTTCTGTTTGATCCATTTTGCAAAATTAAGATGCATTTCTCGGTCAATGTCATTAGCACGACTCCTCTTGCTCTGTTGAGATGGTTTACTCCACAGCTCACTTTTATACTTCCTAAATAAACAAATATCATAACTTCTATATTAGAGAATTTTAATCAACCATAATTAAATTATTTATTTTTGAATAACAGAAACGTACTCTCGTAAGGGATCAAGTAGTTGACAATTGACCAATATATGTCGATGTGCTTGTTGCCTCTCTACATGATTAAGAGTATAAACCTGACCCGCTCCAACAAATCTTCCAAGGTTTGGAAAAATAAATGGAAGTTCTGAATTTGGTCTTATACTGGTCTGAGCTAGAGGTCGATCATCAACGCGGCCATAACGATTAAATCGTGTCTCTATATCATTCAGATACATTGAGCAAAACGTTACACACTCATCAGCTAAATACTGCTCGCATATAGAACCTTCAGGCTTGGCACGATTCCGAACATATGATTTGAAGTGTCCTAGAGCCCTGTAGATAAGTGAATTAAGTAAGTTTCTAGTTATGTGTATATATAAACATAGAATGTTAAAAAAAAAACACCTCTCAATCGGATACATCCAACGAAATGGAACTGGTCCACCGAGTTTTGCCTCTTCTGTAAGATGTACTACTAAATGTACCATCACAGTGAAAAATGATGGAGGAAAAAGCATCTCCATATGACATAAAGTCAGAACAATGCGGTCTTGTAATTTGTCAAGCTCATCGGTATCGAGGACCTTTACCGATATATCTCAAAAAAATTGACAAAGCTCGACAACGGCTGAGGTCACATCTGTTGGCAGTAGATTTTTAATTGCGACTGACAATAAATCTCTCATTATCACGTGACAATCGTGGCTTTTCAAGCCTGATAGCTTTCGACTTTTAACATCAACACAACTTGATAAATTAGAAGCATAACCGTCTGGGAGTTTTACATTTTTAAGACACTTAAATGTGTAGACTAGATTGTCAAACACATTCTTCTCTATGTGCATGACATCCAAATTATGCCGCAACATAATAAATTCCCAGTAAGACAACTCAAAAAATATACTTCTTTTCTTCCACTGCTGAGTGGTACTTGAAGTTCCACTTCCTGAAGCACCACTTCGATCTCTTTTTCTTCCAACTCCAACTAAACCATGGTTTTTACCAAGAGTCACATTAACTTGTTCTAGTTGGTGAATAACTGTAGAACCTGACAATGTGGCCGGTGGAGATCTAGCTTCTATCTTTCCATCAAAATTATTTTTATCATGACGATAGACATGCTCTTGAGGAAGAAAACGGCGATGGCCCATAAAACAATTTTTTTTCCCATGGCGTAAACGTTCTCCGTTGCCTTCAAAATTGCAGCTTGGACAAGCCAAGTTCGTATACGTATTCCAGCCTGACAAATTTCCAAGACCGGGAAAATCACTAACTGTCCACATGATGGCTGCACGCATGTCAAATGTTTGCTTTGTGGAAGCATCTAGCGTTTTAATCCCATCAGACCACAATTCCTTCAACTCTTTAATAAGCGGCTGCAAGTAGACATCAATATCATTACCAGGCATATGCTTTCCAGGGATAACCATAGAGAGGATCATTGATGTTTGCTTCATTGCCATCCATGGTGGAAAATTATAAGGAAATAGTATCACTGGCCATATGCTATAACTACTACTCATGGTACCAAATGGGTTAAAACCGTTAGTCGCCAAACCTAATCTGACATTTCTTGGATCAGATGCAAATTCGGGATATTTTTTATCAAATTCCTTCCAAGCCCTTCCGTCTCTTGGATGTCGAAGCTTTCCATCATTGTTACTAGAAGTTGCATGCCATTTCATATGGGTAGCAGTTTTTGATGACATGAATAAACGTTGCAGTCGGGGCTTTAGAGGAAAATAACGCAAAACCTTTACAGGAGTTTTACTCTTTTTGTTCTCTGATCCAGATTCTGTACTCTTTACTGAAATATTTTCTTTCCAACGAGAAGCTTCACAAACTTTGCAGATTTCTCTTTCTGCATCTGCCTCCCAAAATAACATGCAATCATTTGGACATGCATGAATTGACTCATAACTCAATCCTAATTTGCGAATAACTTTTTTCATGTCACTAAATGAATCTGGCAATTTGGCATGTGTAAATGCTTCTTTCAGCAAATCAAGTACCATAGATATCCCCTTGTCGCTAATCCCACACATACATTTGATATGGTACAACTTCAATATAAAGGACAACTTCGTGAACTTAGTGCATCCTGTATATAGCTCTTGATTATAATCAGCAAGCAACTCATCAAAACCTTCTCCTTTTTCACAACTTCCACTTGCAGTTGATGGTCTATCAGTGTCCATCGGGTTCTCAGATGATCCAGCTTCATATCCACCATCATTGTTCGTACTAATATCAGGAAAAAGATCATCCAAGAGAGTCCTAGTTGAATCTAATTCCACCGAAGCAATATCAGAAGGTACTCTTGTATTACCCGTGACACATATATCCTCTCCATGTAGTACCCAATTTGTGTAAGAACTTAAAAAGCCATAACACATTAAATCACCGTCTATATCTTCTCTTGACTTAAGTTTGAGGAGACAACAACGGTTACATGGACATTTCAGTACGTATACCTTTAATTTACCAAATGCAAAATCCAAGAAATTTTTCACCCCCAATATGTAATCTTGAGACAAACGTGGTTTGTTTATCCATGATTTATCCATCGATCAAAACCTAAAAAACAAAAAGATTTGTATAATTTGTAAGCTATGGAAATTCACAAACAAACATTAGAATTTATAAATAAATATATCTACCATGATCATTTGTCTCTATCGCTTACTGTTATTAATTGGAATCTAAAAATAACTGGTGAATATATGAATTATTTTTCAAGATTCTACGAAAAGATGAGTATTGGTCAAAGTTTATTCAAGCTATAAACCTTTCGTAAAACTAGAATCTAGATATTAATTCCCAAAATTTATCTTAAGAAGTGTGCAAACAGTTTATTGGTCACTAGACGTTAATCAAGACGTCAATCACGACGCGTCTAATTAAGATAAAATAGCACGAAGGTGCTATAAACGTACGTCATATGTATAAAATAGCACAAAGATATAAACGTATGTTGATCTAGACGTAGTTGACGTCAAAGCTATAAACGTACGTTGATCTAGACGTAGTGGTCATTATAATTATAACTATATATGTAACATGATGATGATAAAATAGCACAAATCAGATTGGTTTTACCTTAGAACATTGTTCAGTAATCATTTTTAAGCTATGGTTATACGTACTTTATAGAATTATATTGTATATTGTATATTTTCAATAAATATAAATTAATCATTTTAAAAAGTGGTTGGATTGACGTCAATCCAATGTGGTCGACCATTAAATGTGTGTGAAACTTTGTCAAGCAATCACCCTGGAGAAGAAAGCTTTATACTCGTTTCCAATTCTATTTGAAAACTATTTTTACGGCTCGAATAAATTTGTATACTAGAAGACAATTAATATAGGGTTAAAAATATCATCGCTATCTAAAGGTGCGTGAAGGGCATATGTACCAATTCTAAATGTTGATCATGGTCTTCATCACTACAGATATGTAATTAAAGTCCTTCTCATGAGAACCAAATAGTCTAATTAAGACAGACAAACCTGAAACCAATTGTTGATGTATGAACCTTTTTATTGTTTCTAGATTTCTTTTGCTAAGTGCAGCTACCTGCAGTTTAACCAAAATTAAAATTGTATCATAATTAATTACAGAGAAATAAACAAGGATGAAGAATAAGATCTAATCCTAGAACAATGATTCATCACATATTTTACAAAACTTACGTGTAACGATCGTGACTTCTAAAAACCTGTATGTGTCTAAAATCCATATAAAAGTAAGAGATATATATACAGCTAGCTAGGTTGCTTCTCGATCAAATTTGTAGCCAAAATTTAGGTGTGATGATTATCTAGATCTGAAATATATTTTCCTTCAAAAAAAAAAAAATCACGTTGCCTTTTTTGATTTTTTTGATAATGTTTTTGATATATTTAGTTTAACATCAGTTTTTATTGATATAAATTTTGTATCATTTAAAAAGTGATCTTAACAAAAATTAATAAATACATCAATTATCTAAATGATGTAAATTAATATTTACTATCAGTTTTTAAAAAGTGATACGAAATAATAACTTTTAAATCAGTTTTATATAACTGATGCCAAACTAATTAATTATAACATCACTTAGTATAATTGATGCTAAAACACATCATTTATAAATAAATGATCCAAAATAATATCATTTAGTGAAGTGATACAATTTAAGTGATTTAATATGATCTTTTTTTTGTAGTGAATATATATTAGAAAATAAATATGAGATGAATAATTTGATATTTTGTTAATATTTTGATATTTTGATAAATAATATGTTGTTGTTCTTCATTATTTACAAAATGTCTAATGTAATTAAAATCTATTGATAAAATGATGTGTAATTTTAATGATATTATCTTACAAAATGTCTAGTATAATTAATGGTATGTTTAAAATTTAATATAAATTTTTTATTAAAATATTAATTTTATGTAGATGAGATACTCATAGGATATCACACTAATAGATGTAACACATTGTAGTATGAATTTCTCTAAATAAAACATTAAAAAAATTAATATTATATGATTGAGATACCTTGTGGGTATCTCACAAATGAAGATGCTCTAATACCTACTCAACCTAAGAAAATTTGTCATAACGATGAACATTTCTTTTTATGAGAAAAGTAGCAAATTTTAATTTGTTAGGGTTTTTTTTTTTTTTTTTTTTATCAAATAATCCTAGCTACGCATTCGTTGAAAATGATATATTAAGGAAATCCGTAAAAGATTTAAGATATATACATTAATTTGCTTCATGTGTCATGCTTCCTTTTTTGAAATGTTGTTGATTGCTTTATTCATTGACAGAATGAATATTTCTTATCAGAAGACTCAGAAGGATTCCGATCATCTGTGCATGTTAACCAATGTTAGTCATGCATAATTATTAAACTATATAATTAACAATTAACATAGTTTTGATAAGTGAAATGATCGCAAGTGTGAAGAATACCAATGAGAATGCGACGCATAGAAGGCTGAACTTTAATGTGTTCACGTACTTGTCAATGGACTATATAAAAATGGAGCCACGACTTCAAAAAAAGAAATGACTCTACCCTGAGAATGCATCCTTTGACCTTCCCCTACAATGATATGACAAAAAATATATGTATCATCATTGTCATGATTTAATTAAAGTTTTGTTCGGTTAAATATATTGTTTCTTCATACGAAATCTGGAGAAAAGAAAAAAGAAAAAGAATCTGTCGTCGTAACTTAAGGTTTTGTGCCTTTAATATGTTAACTGTTCTATAGATTTCTTCCTTTTTTTTTCTTAAAGAGTGAACTGTTCAATAGATTAAACGACAATTGGCATAACTGTCCAATAGATTAAACAAACATTGCTACGAGTACAAGCACGTTCGTGGGCTCGTGGCATAAGGAACCTATATTCACTACAAAAAAGTCCACATTGATAAATAATAGCACGGCTTACCAAACTGCTATTAAAGATGATATGTAATTATATTTATTATACAATAGCATTTCATAAACGCTAAGATATAATTTCAATAAGCGGGAATTCAAAATCCCTAATTCTGCCAAACACTTAAGCAAATATTTCTAGTTTTAGCCTTCACAGTCGTTTTTTCCTGTTTGTCGAAAAATCCTAACTCTTTCAGACCTAACTCTTTGTCACTGTCGAATCGACTCTTTCAACCGCTAATTAAACCCTCCGTCACCGTCGTTGAAGGTCACCGTGAAACTGAACCTGCCGCCGGCACTAATTCCGCCTTATTTCTGTCGGCTTTGAGCTCAAATCGAAGGCATGTCCTTTACTCAGTCGATTGTTCTTCTTTTTCGTTACTCTAGATTTGTTCTAGGTTTGTTCTTGGTTGATTTTTCTTCTTTTTCATTACTAATCTGATGTTTTAGGTAGTTTGGTTATTCTTCTTCAATTTTTAAAATTTTGTCTATTTTGCATGCTTCTGTTATTTGCGAATTCAGAACAATTTCTTCACATTAATGTTTTTGTGGTTTGATTTCAGAACAACATTTCTCTGAAATTTGGATCTTCTGTTTGTTATTGTCAGATATAAATTGAGTAGAAGCTTGTATGAATGCGTCAGATCATATAGATTATTCTCTTGATTGCCAATTCAATACCTTAAGAATCTGTTTTTGCTTTGTAGGATTCTGACTAACTTGTGTTTAACCAAAACCAGATAAAAACCTAAGCTCAATTTGTATGAAAAATCTGAATTTTTTTAGTACTTTGAAAAGGAAACAGAAACTGAGCAGTAAATTGCGGGGACTAGTATCTATTTTTCTGTGTTTGGTCCCAGCTTCTTAAATGAGTAACTGTCCTTTTTACAATTTTGTTTCTTACTGAGATTTTGTTTATCATTAGGCTAATTTATCTGGTTTAATGTTTAGACTTTTTTTGTGTTCTAGCTTCGTTTGTTGTCTGAATCTTGTTGTTATTATCGGAACGATTAAGTTATTTTGTTTACTCAAACTTTCAGTTATTCACTTTCTTGCATAACCTTTTACTCATTCTATAATTTTGTTTTGCAAGTGTTGCTGAGTGAAATAATGCAACTTTGAAGTTTATCATTTGCTCTTATCACATGACAGATTAGTACCATCTTCTCTTACATGAGTTTGATTGATTACCATGTTTATTGATTCTAGTACATTACTCTTGATGTCTTGTTGGGTATGCTACTATATATGAGGACAGGTTAGTACCATGTTTCTTGTTTCTAGTATATGAGTTTGATTGATTACCATGTTTCTTGTTTTCAATTTCATTTGTTTTAAAATATGCTATTACAATTGAGAGTGTACTTAGGGAAAACGGCCTTTTTCAACCCCAACTATTTGCAGGCGGGTTTTTCCAACCCAAACTATTACCCCTAGTCGATTTCAACCCAAACCCAAAATTAATTCAAAATCGAAACCTGAACTAATGCAAATGAGCCGATTTCAACACGACGCGGAACGGTGTTAGTTCGGAAATTAACGGTTATTCAACCTTGGGTAATTCTCTCTCTACAACATTCATCAAACCTTGAAAATAAAATCAAATAACTTTGAGAACTGTTAACTTCCGAACTAACATTGTTTCACGTCGTGTTGAAATCGACTCATTTACATTAGTTTAGGTTTTGATTTTGTATTATTTTTGGGTTCGGGTTGAAATCGACTAGGGGTCATAGTTTGGGTTGGAAAAACCCGCCAGCAAATAGTTGAGGTTGAAAAATGCCGTTTTCCCGAGTGTACTTATCTTGTTTAACACATTCTTGCATAACCAAACACATGAAACTAGATATATAGTCATTCTCTATTTCTGTTTTGCAAGTGTTGTTGCTTTGTGAAGTAATGAGAATTTGAAGCTTATCTTTGGCTCTTATCTTTGGAAATATATATTTCACTTTGATTAATTGGTTTTAAATATGGTGATTTGTGTTTGACATATGCTTTGATCTGGTCTGAGATTGAGTTATAATTTGAGTTTGATTTATTTGTTAATTGGTCTGAATATTAAGTGATTCTGTGATGTGTCAAGACTCTTTCATTAAATCTGAAATAGTTCTTATATCACTTAAGGTTTAAATTACGGTTACATTATATAATGGTGGAAAAGGATTGGGTGCACTTTGTAGGTAAGAATTTTTTTTATATAGGCTAGTTTATTATAGGTTACATTATATAGTTTTTTTTTATTTGAGTTCTAAAACGGTTCTTTGATAATTCCTAATTTATTGCTAGATCTACAATTCTCATATTTTCTAAAAAATTTCCTAAGCCTGACGTTTTCCTCATTTGATTTAAAATCCAATTTTATTTGCTTTTTTTTTTTATTTTTAATATTCTTATTTTCTGTTTAAGTTAATTCGATAGCCATTAGTCTAATGTGTGATTCGAGAATTGTGGAATTCGATCCCTGAGTACTACAATGATCTCTTTATTTGAGAGAATAGTCGAAGGGTAATTTGACTCATATAAAAGACTTTGACCTTTTTGAAACAATTAACTTCGCTCGTTATTGATCAAAATTAAGATATTTGTTCTTTTAAATAAAACCACAACTTGATTGAAAGAGTTATCATTGGTCCAAGGTATAAATCATGGATCCAAATCCAAATGATCAAATTTTGTATTTAGAATGTAAATGCAACTGAAACACTTTTTGCTCAAACCCTGGGACTCTATTTGTTGTTTGCAATGAGATCTCCCTGATTTGAGACTTAACCGATTTACGATCAATGTCACACTTGATACCTTTCAGCAAGCCTTTCCTTAAAAACAGGATCCAAAACAGAAAGACATTCTTCCCATGAGTTTCTTCCAAGCATCTGAACCCAAAATATGAAGTAAAAGACATTAAGCATTTGACATCAGATTACTTCTAATGTACAAGAACAAGCGCATTGGATCGATATATGGTTAAAAAATGAACTTAAACTCAGCATAAATAATCTTACGTTTTTATAGTCGTTTAGCACTTGGGAGAATTCGTTTTGGATGACAATGCTTCTTGTTTCCTATGATAAAAATTCATCATTTGTGTACCAACCAATTGTTCAAAAGAGCAGTCAAAAGATCGCTGAGCTAGGAGAATTACAATTAATTTTCGATTCACTTACTTGCCAGCTTGCAATGGCTAAGCATATAAAAGCAACCGAGCTGACATATCTTGATGGATTCACCTTAACCTAATTTATGGAGAACACTTGTAATTGTACGATATCAAAATTTATTCAATGTTATAATAACAAAGCAAAAAGTAGAGAAAAATACCATTGCACATAACCCTCGAAATGCAGTTTCTTTTGTACTGTTATCATCTAACCTGAAAAGAAAATATGAAAATAAATTGTTTTATGGAGCAAGGGTTGGGAGGGTATATAAAGATTCCAAATCCAAGACAAAGGTTCACTAACGTTGCCAATCTCATGCACCAAGGCTTCATGAAGTTCTCTATGTGCGGTGCACCGAGGTCTGGATGAATAAATGCTAGTATCCCAATGGTAATTGCACTGTTCATAGCTAGTTCAATTGCAATGTATTCAACTAGTGTAGTTGCACTCTCCAATTCTAGTGTCTTATTCACAAAAAAAAAAAAAAAAAGGAAAAAATGAGGCACACTTAGACATGGCCAATAAAATCGTGAATTTATAAGGCTGCTAGAGTTACCTCTCCATTTTGAATAATCAGGCCTAAGGAAGAGACAACATTGGTCACAACTGGTGAGACTTCTTGAGGAAACTGAAACATTAAGTTCCTATCATTCACGAGTTTGTTCTAACCAGAAACCTCAAGCTTGAATAGAGAAATAGCATGTTGGTGTTACCTTGAAAGCTAATTCTCCAATGGCTTTACAAGCATTATTTGCAGCAGAAAGGTTTTCTCCACTAAAATTTTCACTCTGTACAAAGCAGAGATACAATCAAATACAATTAAAAAAAAAAGAGAGAAAATGTATAGTAGCATTATAATTTGGATACCAACCAGTTGTTGGCTGGCGATTTCGAGGAACTCAAGCAGGCGGGGTTCTAGATAAACCGGGCATGCCTGTTAGTGTAGCCAAAAACCATTATTACACTAACACATCTAGCAAAAAGAAGTCGAAATTATGACATATAATCTCACGTAACTAGTAGCTTTCACTTAATTTCCTTGCTATTTAATCATGTTAAAGGAAATATATAGACGAATAAAAGAATATACAACTTACTTTTGTAAGATCACAAATAAGGGCAAAAGCACTTTCTCTAACATCAGGAGTTTCATCCATGCAACACTTGAGAAGCATATCCCTTAGATTACTTTGTGAAAGCTGCATAAGAGAGATGATGTGAGTTGTGACAATTGAGTCGGTCATGTTATACAAACGACTTTGATATTGGAGAAGCTAATTGAATTATTCACTGAGTGATAAGAACTTATGAGTAGAAAACAAAGACATCAAGAAAGGGATTACCAGAGACTCTATCCCACTGCCAAGCCCTTCAGCAACTCCAGAAACAAATTCAAGAGAACAAACAACGATTTTTGGGTCGTATTCAACCTCAGCAAAATCATGATCAACCTAAACACAACACAAGCAAGCTATGATCAAACGACAAACGAAAACATGAAATAGTTTTGAATAAGTCCTAATAAAATGGAGATTTAATTATTTCTAAACTCAAGAATGTTACTAAGGAAAATTGGAAAAATCACTCCAAGTCTCTAATGAAATGAATACATAGAATTATGAACCGAACCTTAGCTAGCTGTTGTAGTTGGAGGATATCCATGCACCTCTCAAAAACATACAAAGAAAATGGAGCGAATCCTACTTCTAAAGCCTGAAACATGGAAACACAACTAGTCATAAATTTATAGTTCATGTTCCAAACATTTTAATATTTTGTTAAGATAAACTTGTCTAATATTCACATATCTCCCAATATTAGTAGAAATATCGGACTTCCAAACTACCAAAATCTCAGTACCTTCACTTACTAGAATTATTTAAACTAATTCCATTCGTGTAATAGATTAAAGACCTTAAGAAGCTTGAAAAGTAGTAACATACCTTAGAAATGGATGTGAAGCATTTTAGCAATGGAATTACATCTTTATCTGAATCTGAAATTTGTTCCGACGTCGAAACCAGTGGGGGAATCAAAATCTTAAGATAAGAAGGCTGCATAACGGGTTAGTGTTAAGTAGGTAGAGAAAATTATAAGTACTATATAAAGATATAAATTTACAAAAACAAATTAACCTTTCAAAAACCTAATACCATACCTTATTCAGATCAATTCCAACTGAATCTGCTAGTGCTCTAATAGCATCAAAAAGAACTTTTAAGTTCCGTCTCTGGATATATGAAAATAGTGTGTTAGGTAGTCACAAATAAAATTTTGTTTGAAGTTTATAATAGTTGTCACAAAGAACATTTAACGACCTGATACTTTCCAAAAGCGCGCATTAGCTGTGTTAATATCTTTTTCAGGTGTGGTACTAAGTTTTCACCAGCATCCTACATGTTCACAAAAAATAACTTTTGTCAACAGTCATTCATATTATTAAAACTAAACTTGATTTGGATGAAACTTAACTATGGGCTCATGATGAAGTTATCTTTAACTGGACTAATTAAATAGGTCCAACTTCTACACTTTTTCAAGAAGTACTATAGAAAATATCACCTTATAATGTGACAAATATTTAAATATTTATGTAAAAGAATATAAATATTTATAAAATAAATATCTAGCTATTACAGTAAAAGGGTCTACATATTATGATAAGAGTATATTTTGTACCTAGATAGATATAAATATATTATGGTAGACTGTTCTAAAGAATAGGACACGGTTTGTTAGCTATTTTTTTACTTTTGGATCTTATAAATATTTTCTTCCTTTCCATTTTTAATCAAGAGTTCCTAAACATATATAAGTTCTCTAAACTTCTCTAAGAATCTTTCAAGCACCTTTGTTCTTTCATATTCTTCTTCAAACTTAGAGGTTCTTTCAGTTTCTTTCAAGTTTTTCAGTATGACGGTAATAAGCTATTGCTAAACACTATTAAAAGTTCTTTACACATGACATAATATACAACAATGTGAAGACAATAGTTACCTCTTCAAGAGTTGTCAAAGCTAAACATGCAGCTTCCTGGACACAAGTGTTCGTATCCAAAACTTTGAGAAGAAGACCCTTAAGAACTTTTCTAAAGAGTTCACTATTCACCGAATTATTTTCCTATAAAAATAAAAGTATCGAATCATCTAAAATTTTTTTAAACAAATTGAATAAAAAATATCATGTTCAAATCATACCTCAAAAACATATGTGCCAAATTGATAAAGTGTCCAGCACGTTATTCTTCGTACGAGAGGAAATTGATCATTTAAAAGACGACGAAGGATTGTTACAATCTGTAACAAGGCACTAGCATATTAATGAACTTAAATTAAAGAAGAAAGAATTATGAAATGACAAAAGATCATAAACGAAAACTTTCCTCAGACAAGTGAGGGTAGAAAATTTTATTGCATCCTTCAGCAATAGCTCCAAGAGCATAAACAGCAACTTCCCTTTCTTTCCAAGTCTCATCATCATATCTTGATAGTTTTGCCTGCAGATTGGAACAAACATGTTTGAGCTAATTGTTTACAGTTCCATAGACCGAGAGAGAAATAATATTTACCTTAATAAGAGGCATGAGTGTTAGAAGGATTTCATCTCCAAATACATTAGCGAGAATGCCAATAAATTTTGCACTGCATGCTCTTAAATTCCACTCGTTATCATTTTGTGCCTAGAGATAGTCATTAGAAAATGATGTATGTAATTAATATATTTATATTGTATAACTCATATATTATCATATACACAACTTGTGTGCTTTAGTGCATATATCAAATGACCCAAAACAAATAGATTTTAATGGAAAACGAGGTTTCAAATCATATGAGCATATTAAAATGAATGAAAATTGAATAAAAATTATTTGTAAGAATAAGTGAAGTCACAAGAACATAGAACTAAACCTTATATATGTCTTGTTGAGATTTATCCTCCTGCAAAAGTGAATTGCTTTCGTACATTATAATTATATAATTTAAAAATGGTGAAAAACATATAATACCAACGGAAAATAAACCTCATCATTGGAAAGTGTCTCATCATCATCTTCATAAGCCATGTCTGAGAGCAACATCTAATAATAATAATAATAATAATAAAACATCTAATAAAATCCAAATGAAATTTTATGAAAATGGTTAAATGTTCCCAAAAAATACTAGAAGAAAATTAAAGGAGAAGTATCATTATACTGGAATCAGGCGTGGCAATAACTCTTTTAAATCCGTTGGTTGGAGCTGAGCATCACAGTATGCAGGCCTGGCAAATAATAGTATAGTTTTGAGAGCAAATTCACAAGAAAAAATAGTTTATTGAGCAAAAGAAAAAATAATTTTAAAAAAAGTAGAACACAAGAAAAAATCAATTTACCAAAATTTACATGCCGTAAGAGACACTTCTTCATTGAGCTTTTTTATTACTTGTGCCTTGTATGCCATGAAATTCCGGAGATGCGGCTGAAGTAGACAAAATAAGGCCAATTAACAAATTTTGTCTATTAATGTTAAATTAAACAATCTTTTAGCATTAATAGATTGAAAAATACAAATCTAACACCAAAATAACATAAAATACTTGCTAGAACACTATTTACATAAACGAACTCGTATGAAAATTTTCAAATTGAGAGAAAAATCAACGAAAAAGGAAAATAAACGTACCCACTGGTGGTACGAAATGAAAAAAGAGACGGCGAGAGAGAGAGAGACACGACTGATAGAGTCAGAAGAAGCAGAGAGAGTGAAACCTCCGAGAGAGGAGGCGGCGACTAATATAAAGAGAAATATTTTGTTCACCCAAAAGAAAATGCAATTTCAGTTTATTAGATTTTTATTTTCCGAAACAAATTAAATTAAAATGATATGTTCATTATTAAATTAGATGTAATGTTTGTTTTGTTAAGGATCTTTACTTAAAAAAAGTTTTTGTCATTAATTTTTTTTTTTGAAATTCTGATTTACTTGTTTTGGCTTGGATTCAGATTTATGATTTTTCTAGGAAAGAAATCTCTTTTATCAAAACTTTGACCTTTTCCGAAACTATCTATGTCAGTACTATAACAATTCTCTGGGTTTTTTTGGTAATATTAGAGAAGAAACAAATTTTTGAAAAAAGTTAAGAAACTAGCCATAAGATTTTTATTTGTTGGAAACTAACAATGGACTCACGTTTAAGAGGAAGTTAATTGACGAAATCACCCTTTATTTTACTTTGAGGTTAGACCGCGTGTAATATCGAAACTAACCATGGACCCTCGTTTCAGAAAAAGTTAATTGACGAAATCACCCTTTATTTTACTTTGAGGTTAGACCGCGTGTAATATCGAAACTAACCATAGACCCTCGTTTCAAAGGAAGTTATTTGACGAAATCACCCTTTATTTTACTTTGAGGTTAGACCGCATGTAATATCGAAAAATAAAAACATTAGATATATAAGAGAAACTTGTATGTATATTTAAGAAATAGCATGTTAGATATACAAATAACATCCCATATTAAAATGAATAGTATGTTATTGCAAGAAAATGAATGTGATTTTGGTGGATAACATGGTATATTGACAAATTTAAACATTGTTGTAAGAATTCATGCTATTTTATTGAATAGCATGAAATATATGGAACATCATGACAAGAATCATGTTATTTTGTTGGACATCATGAAATATTGACAAAAATATACAAACACTAAAACCTCTATAAATTAATAAACACGATAGAATAATAAATTTTACCGGTCCCGAGTCGGATCAATGTAAAAATTAACCAAATTTGATAAAAAAAATAAGATAATATTTTTTTTATAATCTCTATGTAAAACTATGGTCCCAATAAAATCATAAATTAATAATCATGTAAATTTACATATATATAGTGTTTTTGTTTACAAAAATAACCAAAGTTTTCTGTAAGTTTTCAAAATTTGAATACGCATAATTTTTCTTTTAGTAGTCATATAGGTTTTTCAAATACAAAAATGGATGTCAATATTTATAAATTTAAATTTATGCATATCGTTTGTATATGTGAATTCTATAATCTTTGTTATTCATTGTAAAAAAAAATATTTTCTCTTCGAAATATTAAATGTTTTACTAAAACTATAAAATTTATAACATCCAAAACATTAATTTTATTTAGATTAAACTATTTTTAACTCATAATTTTAAAAAATATTTTAAAAATTATTTTTTTTGCCGTCTAATATGTTTTATTAAAAATAAGAAACATATTCAAAGTAAAAAACAGAACATGTCATCATAAGAAACAGAACTCCACAAAACAGAGTATAAATGATTATGAAAGACTTCCAAACTATGTCATCTCCTCTTCTTCTCTTCAATATGTGAAAATAGCCAAGCCGGACCGCCACTAGCTAAATAAGATTGGCCCCGTCCATCACTTGTGACACTCGCAGCAATAGCTCTTGCGATCGCATTAGCTTTTGTAGAAGACACCTTAAACACAATTTTACCAAAGCTTGATATTAGCCGATGTATCTTGTCAAGGAAGGAGTGATACCTTGGCCAATTTGATGGGTCAATAATGGCGTCAATTGCAGCGTGACAATCAGACCATATCTCAATGTTATCCAAATGCAAGTCAGAAAGACTATGTAGAACCCAAAGGATCCCTATTAATTCCGCAGCGATACGATTTGAAGCGGGTAGAAACATTTCTCGCGCATGGAAAACTGCATCTCCTTGGTGATTCCTTACCATCCAAGCTCCACCACACATATGAGACTCATTTAACCAAGAGACATGAAGATTACACTTAAGAAAGTTAATGGGAGGTTTAACCCATCTGGTCTCACGGCGAGCATTCAAACCAATACCAATTGAGGAGGCTGCGGTTGTGTCTCCTTTAACTTATTCCACAGTTCCGCTTCTTCTATTGCATGAACTACCAATGCATTCAAATCACCTTGTTTCCCAACATATAAAACTTCATTGCGGTGCTTCCATATTCCCCATAAGATCCACGGGATCGCCATACGTATAGAGAGTGAAACACTATCATTGCTCATAACTTTCAACAAAAATGCTAGATTGTCATTAGTTGAATCTGTAAACCCGTGAGAAGGTAGGGGAATGTTGGCAATCTCTCAAACTTCTCACGCCGGCCAACAGTTAAAAAGAACATGGCTGATGGATTCCAAATCATTTTGACAAAGAGAACATTGAAGAGCAGAATTGATACCATGAGCCTGAAGACAAACTGAGACTGCTAAAGCACCAGATAAAGCTCTCCATAAAAACATTTTGATCTTAGGAATAGTCTTAATCGCCCAAATCTTCTCTTCTCTTTAAGTATATGAGTCTCCTTGTCATGAGCAGATAAAGGTGTAGGATCAGTTTGTAAATGAGGCAATAACCAATTACCACTCTTGACTGTGTAACACCCAGACCGGTTATAAGCACATACATAGCTATCTGCTGCAGCCACATTTGGAGGATAAGACATAATTCTGACAACATCCGGTGGAAAAAACAGTTCCGATAATAGATTGTGGTTCCAAGAGCCTTGGGGGGTAATAAGGTTTGAAACCCGCAAATCTAAATCAAAAAGAGACTGTTTGTTGAAAGGACGACGCGAGACGTTATCAAAGATCCATTTGTCAATCCACACACTAGTAGTTTGTCCATTCCCGATGGTTTTTATGAGGCCTTTTCCAAGCAAAGCCCTACCATGGATAATGATGCTGCGCCACGCATAAGACGGTCGAGCCCCAACAACAGCATCCATAAAATCCTTACGGTGATAATAACGTGCTTTATGTACCCGCGCCAACAAAGAGTTTGGTTTTGTAAGAAGTCTCCAGGCCTGTTTTGCGAGTAAAGCTTGATTAAAATCACCAACAGCTCGAAATCCTAAACCACCTTCTTTCCTTGTTTTATACATCTTTTCCCAAGACACCCAATGCATCTTCTTATGTTCTTCACATGAGTTCCACCAAAAGCTTGTCATTGCACTCGTAATCTGTTGGCATTGATATTTTGTTAATTTAAAACAAGACATGGCGTACACTGGTAAAGCCATGGCAACAGATTTAAGAAGGACTTCCTTCCCTCCTAACAACAACGTCTTTGCAAACCAACCAGTCAGCCGGGTTTTGAGCTTCTTTGTTATGTATGATAACAAATCACATTTAGAACCACTAAAACATTCCGGAAGACCTAGATACATACCATCACCACCTTCCTTGAAAATTCCAAGAAACAGTCCCAGCAAATGTCTCATAATCGGCTCCATCTTGGTGCCATAAATAATTGACGATTTCTGAAGATTTATTTCTTGACCGGAAGCATCACCATATAGTTTCAAACACTTGAGAATTTCAGCCCCTTCTTTAAAAGTAGCCCGACAAAGAAAAAGACTATCGTCAGCGAACAACAAGTGTTGGATGGACGGGCAGTTCCTAGTTAAACGAATACCAGTGATACATCCTTCAACTTCAAATATTTTAAAAATTAAAACTAAACTTTCTATAAATTAATAAATATTAATTTACACTATAAATTATTAAATATTAATTTATAGATAAATTAATAAAATATCATGGTCCTAACATTATTAATTTATAAAGGTTTTAATGTTTTAGTTATTATAACATGGTGGCAGTGGTGTGGAAGATGGTCGTGAGAGATTAAATGTAATTGGTGGCGATGGTGTTGAGGATGTTGGTGATGATAGATTAGCTTTGAGTAGAAACTAGAGACGGCTAGGTTTAGAAGAATGTATTCTCTCTTATTCATATCACATGGTTACATCACAATATATATACACGTGAATATTAGGTAAACTAAACTTGGAGATAAAGTTATTCTCTGCAAGATATATCTCCGAAATATACTTATTAACATAAATATATATCCCAATACTCCCCCTCAAGTTGGAGCATGGAGATAAAAAATGCCCAACTTGGACGATAAACCTTCAAACGGAATGCGACCCAAAGCTTTAGTAAGCAAATCAGCCAATTGATGATGTGTATTGACATGAACCATATTAAGTGTCCCGTCGTGAACAACATCTCTAACGGCATGGCAATCTCTCTCAATGTGTTTAGTTTTCTCGTGAAAAACCGGATTGGAAGAAATGTGAATAGCAGCTTGACTATCGCAAAACAATTGAATATGTTTCTTTTGGCGGATATCCCAAATCTTCTAGTAATTTCTTCAACCATCAGACTTCATTTAGTGCATTTCGCATGGAGCGATACTCAGCTTCAGTGGACACTACAGGAAATGAAGGTATTCGTAGCGTCCGAAAACCGCTATATAAAGATACTATAGCGTTATTAGAAACGCTGTATGTCCTCCCGTTATAATAGGTCTGACACTTTATATAGCGGTTTTTACTTATGCTATGGTATCTTTTTAATACATAGCGGTTTCGTAAACGCAATAGTTAAGTTTACAATAGCGGCTATTGTTTGCTATATATATAGTTAATTATTCTATTATGAATTACAATAGCAGTTAATATATGGTTATAGATAGCGTTTTCTTACGTATAGTTTTATATAGATAGCATTCATATGAAAGTATAAAATACGTATAATTTTGTATAGATAGCGTTCTTGTAGATGTATAAATACGTAAATTTTTATACATTTTTAAAAGGTATATACAGTATTTTGTACTATTAAATTATACATTTTATACAAATGATGTATTGTACGAAGGAGTATTTTTATACGTACTTTTATACTCAATTTTTAACAAAAAATAAAACAAGAAAATACATAAAATTTGTTTCTTTTTTGTAAATAAAATAAAGAAAATACAAAAAAATTGTTTCTTTTCCTAATTATTGGCCCATGGATCTTCATCACTTGTTTCAGCCCATAAAAAGCTTCGATCCACTTCCAGTATAGTTTTCCTCCACCCCATGACAATAAACCGAGTCTGGTAAGATGGCAAAGAACATTAGGAAATTGTCCATTGGAAACAAAGAGTTACAGACCACGATGAATTCAATATTGAGACTCTCCTGCCTCAAATCTATATACCAAGAAAGAAAATCCAGACCAAAAGCAACCGCAAAAGGAAGCAACACAAATATCAGTTGAAGAAAGCTTATCACACCTATAATTTATTTACATCCTAGCAATGAAATCCAAAGGAACTAGGTCCACATTTCTACTTTTGGCTACATAATTGGGAAAATAGACTTACGAATCAGTAGAAGGGCCTCCTATATTCCAGTTTCCACCCTCTCCTGAAGAAACATACTTGAGACTCGATCGAAGACGTCGGCGGCGGATTCTCCCTCCGGGAACCGATAGAAAAAGCGGCCAAATCGCTCTCTCACCTTCTTCGTCGCTCTCATTCCTCCTCTGTTTGCTTCTGTTTCTGTACATCGAAGCACCAAACCACGAAATCACGATTCACGGACTCAGAAACGAAACAAAAACAAGAGCCATGTACACAGTAACATTGATCCAAGAACCTGATTCGCAAGATTGTCCGGATTTCGTTAATCCCGCCAAAGGCAGATCTAAGACACCACCCTCAACTGTGAGATCTGCCGCTCGATATCCGTCACGGAGCCTTGAGCCTTCGTCCTCTAACAGCTCGGAGATGTCCTCAAATCATTTATAAGAGCCGCCACTACCACCTTCTATATCCTCCACCAATCGGAGATGTGAAGAAACAGGAAGCAAACTAGTATTTGATTTTCCCATAAGGATGTAAGAGAAGGATACGAAGAGAAGAGGAAAAAGAATAAGTTTTAACCAAAAAAAAGAAAGGAAGGAGAAACGTTTAGCCGTTGGATTAAATTCATCAATGGTGGAGAATAAGCACAGAGTGCAATCTTGGAGGTTAATGCTTATTGGCTAAGAAAAAGAACGGCTCAGATCAAAGTTATTGAGACAGATCAACGGTGTACATTAATCGCGTCAACAATAAGAAAGGACGGCTGAGATCAAAGTCGGCGCGATCTAACGGTGTAGGATTCGTCCCACAATGTGGGAGCTTACTTCTCATTGGCTATTAATGAAAAAAATCAGAAAATTATCATATAAAATAGTTTATTAATAAAAAAAATATAAATTATTTCTTTAAAAATTCAATATATGTATTTCAATTTTTAGAATATTTTTTCTTATAAGTATAAAATTTTTAAATTAAGAACAATTAATATAGGTTAGTATTCCAACTATCTAACTTATATGTTCATATACACTAAGGCATAGTTTAGGGTTTAGGGTTTAAACTTTGGGATTTAGATTTTTTTACTCAAGTATTTATGTTTATAGTTTAGGATTTCGAATTTTAATTTAGGATTTTAACTTTAATTTAGAGTTTAAAGATTTAATTTAATTAAGATTTTAACTTTAATTTAGGGTTTAGGGTTTAGGGTTTAGAGATTTAATTTAAGATTTTAACTTTAAAATTTAAAATAATTATTTTAAAATAATTTTATTTTGTTAATTTATAAAAAGTGAATCATGTTTCAAGATTGAACTTTCAACCGTAAACCCTATACCCTAAATGGTTTAGGGTTTAGGGTTTAGGGTATAGGGTTCCATCTTTAAACATTTTTCACTATTTTTCAATTAACAAAATAAAACACAAAAAAACATTAAAAACTTTTCAATTAAAATTTATTAAAATTTTTTTATTTCTTTTACAAGAATTTTTTTCATTAGTATAATTTTTTTATTATTATATGATACATTAGTTAATTTTATATTCCTTTGTTGATTGTATATATATATATATATTTTTTTAGAAAAAAATTTATGTTCCATGATTTTGTTTGTAGTTTAAAATTATTTGATAGTATATTATTAACAAACTATCAAACGTATACGAATAATTATGAATTAAAATTTATTAACATGAGAAAACAAAGTCTAGAGAAGTGCATACATATATTGTTCGACATAAAAATAAAACAAAGTCTAGAGAAGTGCATACCAAAATAAAACAAAGTCTTCGACACTTTCTCTTTTTTTTTTTTTTTTTTTTTGAACACCAGTCTTCGACACTTAAAACAGCGACATAAATTTCAGAGACCTTGTTGTACTTGTGACACGTTGAGTATACATAGTGCAGTTTCAGCATCCTCTAACTTTTCCCTAAAATCTGATTGGCTTGACACTCCAAGAAGTTGGTTAACCATAAGATGAATCGCAACCTGAAACAGAACAACCAAACAAAGAATAAATAATCATGACATTCTCTCAAGGCTTTGTTCGTATTATTCTTCAATCACTTGCCTTTCTGCAGATATCCTGGAGAAGCACGACTTCACCGTCCTTAAAGTTACTCAATGTCTGAAGCATATGGATTCCTCTTGTACTTCAAATCCATACAGATCCGCAAATCCAACTACACATCAGAAAAAGATACATGAGACATCAATAATCATGAGAGCAGTGGCAGCGACCGGTAAGAACTAGAGACAAGAGCTAGGAAACCAAATTAGCATCTTTATATGAGAGCAAGAAACTTTTCTACTCTATCCAAACTCAGGACAAAAATCAATCGATACATGCATTATCTAGTAAAGAATCTAGTAAATAGACTATCTTGTAATGAATCTAAACTCAGACATAAATCAATCGAAAACACAAATTGAAAGTCGAACACCCAAACTCACATAAGAAGAAAGAAACACGATTCAAATCACACAAACAACAATCCAAAACCCAATTACTTCAAAAACAACAAAAACAGATGAAACCCTAACATGAATAAAAACTAAATCATTGAGAATATCGAACACCCATACATATACTAACCAATTTGATTTCGATTGATGTCTGTGACGATTAAGAAACATACGATCGAGATCTAGAGAGATTTTGACTGAGAGGGATTTTGATCTGAGAGGGATTAGACAAAATTAGGGATCGATAGTGGAAGAGAAACTAATTGGGTTTCATTTGGTGTTCATATTTGGTCTTTCAGGGAGAAAGAACGGATCAGTCTCGAGACAGAGAAGAAAGATGTGAGAAGAGGAAAGAAAGAAGAAAGATGTGAGAAGGATCGATAGCCCTAATTTTTTTTTTTTTTAACTTATTGTTTCTTTGTTTTCTTTTATTATTTTGTTACTTAGTAAAATTTTTGGAGCCAATAAAATTTTAGTTTCCCGGTTATACCTATAATAACGTTTTAATTTACATCTATGCTATCATAGACCAAATACTAAGCGCCACTCTGAAATATTTTTCGCACTCAACCTACTATAGTGTTTGCCTTTCTCCAAACGCTATCTAAAATTTTTCAAAACTCTATTATAGCATAAACATTCAAAACGCTATGCTCTTACGCTATTAATACCCACATTTCCTGTAGTGGGAGGAATGAGAGACAACGTTCTTCCCATTTTCAAGAAGATCCCGGGCTCGATCTGGTTTAGTATCAAGGTTCTTTTGTTTCTTTGTCTTCCATGAAATGGGAGAGCCACCCACAAACATCACATAGCCACTTAACGATCGTCGAGACGTAGAGCATGTGGCAAAGTCAGAATCACAATAAGCCATGAGAGTGAGGTCAGAATCCAAGCTAAGTAATACATCTCGACCTGGAGAGCCTTTTAAATAACGCACAACACGGAGCACCGCATTCCAATGATCAACACGTGGAGCTTGCATAAACATAGACAATATATGAACCGAGTAGCACAACTTTGGTCGAGTAGAAAGAAGATAGATCAAAAGCCCAACTAACTTCATGTACTCTTCAGGACGAGGAAGAAGCTCACTCTCATTCATCTCCAATTTATAATTCTGGTCAATCGGAGTGGAAGAAGGTCGTGAATGAAGAAGATCAGCCTCGGTTACTATATCAAGTGCATATTTACGCTTAGAGAGATAAATGCCTTCGGAACTCCTAGCAATTTCTATCCCAAGAAAATATTTTGCTTTTCCTAAGTCTTTCATGTGAAAACACCTTCCCAATTAGTCTTTAAAGCTTTGAATCATACGTGAATCGTTACCACAAATCAACAAATCGTTAACATAAATCAAAACCTAAAGTTCAACTCCGGCACACGAGAGTGTGAAAAGCGAATAGTCCGAATATGATTGAACAATCCCAAAATTCGTTTTCCTTGACCCAAATCTTCAATCTCTGCTGTTTGTAAGCTAGATGATGGCGAGGAAACAGCAGGTACTGGATCCGATGACACTTCTGGTGAAACTTGTGAAGTTTGTGTCGTTTCCAAATCTAAATCTGTACCCTTATAGATTGGTGGAGTTGATGGTGTATTCAAAACCGGAGTCTCATCCGTGACATGCTCGTGTTAAGACTCACTCCCCCTTTCTACAAGAGCAGGTGACAAATCAATGACCCAATCTTCATCAACAATCTCATGAGTAGGCGCCTGCTCATCCGTTTCTTTGTGGTAAGGAAAAATATTTTCTTGAAATACCACATCTCGAGACACTAAAAACTCATTTGTTTCCATATCGTATACTTTCCAGCCTTTTTTACTAAACGGATAGCCCATAAAAATACATTGCCAACTCCGTGGTCCAAATTTATCTTGGTCTCTTAAGCGCTTGTGAGTATAAACATGAAAACCAAATACTCTTAGTTGATCATACGATGGCGGTACACCATGAAGAAGTTCATACGGTGTCTTCCCGTTAAGAACCTTTGACGGAGTCCTATTAATAAGATAGGCAGCCGCTAAAATTACTTCCCCTGAAAAAATAACCGCTAGATTAGCTTGAAAGAGAAGTGACCGAGCAACATTAAAATATGAAGATGCTTCCTCTCGACACTTCCATTTTGCTGAGGAGTGTCAACACACGAGGTTTGGTGAACAATACCGTTCTCCTTAAAATAGGCAGAAAGACACATGAATTCCTTACCATTGTCACTTCGTACCATATGAACTGATTTCGCGAATTGTTTCTCGGCATACACACAAAAATTTTGTAGAACACGTCTAACTTCAGATTTTTCTAGTAAGAGATATGTCCATACCACTCTAGAAAAATCATCTACGATAGTAAAAAAATACACAGCTCCACAAGAGGCTGATGCACGATATGGTCCCCATACGTCCACATGAATTAATGAGAAACAATCCATAGCTTTGTTAGAACTTTCAGAAAAAAACTTCTCGTGTTTGCTTAGCCCAAAAACACATGTCACAAGGACTCGGACTAGCTAATTTACAAATCCTAGAAATCATAGGTAAAGACGAAAACACTGAATAAGCAGGATGTCCCAGCCGACGATGCCACAAAGTCGAATCACCCTGCGCTTCAACCTTGTTACCCCCTACGGCTGCCACATCCGTAAAGTAGTAGACCCCAAAACGCTCTTTCCCGGCTCCAATCAGCGTCCTCGAAAAACGATCCTATAAAACACATAATGTATCAGTAAATAATGCCACACATTGAATTTGTTTGAGTAGCTTCGAGACGGATAAAAGAGAGCAATTGAGGTCAGGAACATATAACACATCATATAATGTGATTTTATCTGAAACTCGGAACACGCCAATACTTTCTGAAACTGTTTTACTCCCATCAGCAAAACCCATTGAGCAAATAGAGATAGGAGTAATGTTGACTAACAGTGAAAGATTCCCAGTCATATGATGGGAAGCTCCAGTGTCGAGGATCATGTCCTCATAAATCTTACCAGAGACCAACTTACCGGAGAGCTTGTCGGAGTTGTCGTTGCTTTTTTCACTAGCCATCTGCTCAATAGCCTTCCATTGCTCATTTGTAAACGATGAGTGTGGATGTAGGATTCACACTCGATTGTCTTTAAGTATTTTTGTGGATAAAAACTCTAAAATCAACAAATGAAAATAATGATTTGAAAAGGAAAGTAACCAAGAAACTAAATAAAGCGAAAGAGTTTGGCAAGAATAAAATAGTAAAAAGCCTTCTGAAATTGTAAAAGAAAGAGTATGTTGTATTGCTTGATCGTAAGAGGTAAAAAGTTGTTCTCTGCCAAACACATGCGTTTGAGGTTGTTTTTATAGAGAAAACATGATCAATGCG